TTTCAATATAACACAAATTAATTCAACCAAAACAGATATAAAATTGAATCAACACCTCTCTAAAAGAGCTTGAAATAACTTTCATAAAGGTTACAGGGCTGTTGTATTAATCTCAATTAGTATAAACTATACTGTATGTTATAAACTAGCAACTGTAACAATTCTAAAAAAAAAAAAAAAAAAGTCAATAAAAACAGATAAAAAAAAGTATTTTTGAAATAAAAGGGGTCAATCAGTTCCACACTGATTGAAGCCTTGAGTCAAAGCAGGGTTTACACTGTCATCTTTCTTGCTGCAAACAGCATTCAGAACTATCAGGATAATGCTGCTGCTGCTGCTTGTTTGAGGATTACTCACTAATAATCCCCAATTTGCAGGTTGTATGTTCCTTAGTGACCTCCAGGGCTTCCTCAATTAATGCCAAGTTAATATATTTCTGGAACAGTAGGTCCTTCTAGTAATGAGAGCGCCACAACACAGCTGCATGATCAAAGTGCTTTGACAAGTAACACACACACACACACACACACACACACACACACACTGCTCAAATGTTCCAAATGATTTCCAGTCAGTGAAAATGTTGATATTGATTAACTGCTGGGGAAACATAGCCACAGATAGTAGGGGGATTTACCGATGCAATGACATTATACTGTCATTTTATGACTTGGACTCAACATGGAAAATGACCTTTAGCTGTATTCATTACAGTCAGTAGAGGAGTGCAGATCAGCTCTATTTCTGCTAACTATGCAGCTGTTCAGCTGAACTGGTTCAGCACAGAAATCAGCCCACTGGTGATATGTGAATGCAGGTCTACAGTCAATACACAATAGTCATTATTATTATCATTTCACCACTTATTTCACCTGTTTTCACCATAACAACACTAATACTCACAGTTTATTACATTTATAGTTGAAGCACATTGGCAGGACATTTGGATAACAGATTTTTGTCTGTATATATATGGACCTATTATCAAAACAATATCAGACATTTCAAAAGATTAGAATTAGGTGTCAATGAGGGAATTATGCAGCAATAGAGGATAATACTCACCAGAAATCAGAGACAATAGAGCAAGAACTCACAAAAGAAATCAACATATTGAGAAAAACACATGCAGATGAGGCCGAGGGTAAACCCATCAAAGTCAGGTTAGCCCTGTGTCTTTATGCAGAACAGAGTTTGTATATTTTATCAACAATATTTTATGATATTGATTTATACTATTTATAGTTATAAATGCTGCATTAAACTGATTTGTGAGTCTAAGTGTGGTTCAAGTAACAATGCTTATTTGAAAGTTGATAGATTTTTGTTAGTTTATACTATATTGATTACCTAAAGAGTGTCACACACCACTACAGTTAAACAGTAGCACAACTAGAGAAGAGTCATTAAATTAGCAGACTCATTCTAATGTCAGTTACACAGTAATATCTCTCTAAATCTCAGTAACAGTAACTAACATTAGCCACTATAATCTACTGGTGATACCAGGCCGAGTGAGGCCGTAGCAGCAAAAACCTTTTGTGTTTTAAATTGTGCAAGGATGCCTTTTAATTTCAAAAAGGAAGAATGTGTTATTTTTTAATTAAGAAAATGACATACAAATTACATCTCCCCTTAAAGCATCTATACAGAGTTAGTAGGTTGATCTGCTACAATGAAAATTCGTATCTTATTATTCCCAGTCAGTTGAGGGTTGGCGAAGGCAACGATGCAAACTGTGCTCATTGTTGACATACCCAAAAAGTTGATTGTCTTTCCTTGTGCGACTGCTGTTATGTGTGAGCTCTCCTAGTCAAAGAGGGTTCCTATGTTTTTATGGTTTGTGTTCAGCAATGTACCAACATTGACCTTTTCATTGCCATCATTGCTTTCCACGACTTCTCAGATTCCCTGATGTACAGCTGCGACTGTTTCAGCTCCATCTTCATGGAACCACCTCCTCTTCGGTATCAGGTAGGCACTGGGCAGGTCATTTGTTGCTCTGCTTCCCATGTTTTGTTTGGCAAATTAAGTTCATCATCTACTTTACATATAAATCTGTCTTATGTACATGCTGATGTATTACTTGTCGTGTCCAGCAGGGGGGAGGCTGATACTAGTGATCAACTGGCTTTCCACAGGGGTGTATCATCGCTGGGCAGTGGAAGAATGAGAAGAAACTCTCCTCTCCTCTTCCCCTGCATATATCATAGCACTGTCCCAACTAGAATCACCTGTGGCAGTTATTTGCCTCCACCAACCAGTCAAGTTGCAGTTTGCATCCATGTCTGTCCAGACTCATATAGTATATGTAGTAAAGACTTTGAAATAATTTAATAAAAGGTATTTCATCATATGAATTTTTGACTTATGGCCAAAAATGGTCACAGTGACTTTGACCTTTGACCTTTTACTACCAAAATCAGGTTAATCAGATTTAACTGACAAGTGGAGGCAACACAATAAATGACACATACACGACATCTTCACATTTTCTAACCGAGCCCAGATCAGTTCAAGTCAGTGTGTGAAGAAAGGGCAAAAATACAAATACAGAAATCTCAGGTGTAAAAAAAACAAAACTGCTTCAACTTTTGCAGAAAGCCCTCCCTCCGCGTTGGACCTCTCGCTGCTCACAGTAGGAAGCTGGTTGAGAAAATGGGTCATGGTGCCTTTAAAAGCATTGATAAGGTTCCTGGGTCAAATGTGTTGCTTCATTATGAGCTGAAGCTGTGTGCCTGGCTTCAAATTGTCTGTGCTGCTTTTAATGACATAAAACAAAGGGCAAAGAAGACAACATAACATTTAATTCCATATTGTAACATAATCTAAAGCAGTGTAATATATATATATATATATATATATATATATATAGATGAGAACAAAGCTCAGTAACACTGGTAGCTCCCTTTAATAACTCAGGTGCATTGAATGCCTGACCCCTGCCTTCAGGTGACTTCATTCCCACAGTGACTCCTGCCAAATAGCAATATATCCCTCTGAAATGTCAGCTGTAATTACTCCTGTGCACTGAGACAACCTCTAAAATGAAAGAAAGCAGCTGGTGATCATGCTCCGGCTCCTCTCTCTCCTGCCTCTCTCTTTGTCCACATATCCCCATCGCTAATTTGTTGGCAGTCACATCAAAATCTGTGCTCCCCTGATCTCAATGAGGTTCAGAGTTTCTATTGTGGTTCTATTTATGTGTGTGTGTGTGTGTGTGTGTGTGAGAGTGTTGTGGTCTGGGCCAGCTCACAGCGCAGTGAGTGGTGTCCTCTTATTGGCCACCCCCTGCTGCTGGTCTGTCATAATTACGTGGAGGGAGAGAAAAATAACAGCAGGTGGGACTGACACACACACACACACACACACACACACACACACACACACACACACACAAACACATTCACACGGAAAAATAAGGTGTGTCACTATGTCACCGCTGAAGTCTCCTAAATGAAAAGGCTTGAAGGTTAACTGGACTAACTGGACAGGTATGTGGACAATGTAAGTTTTCTTTCAGGCAACTATCACTGTGCAAGACACACACACTTAGTGATACACAGCGTCTAAAAGGCCCTTTGTAGGCTACCTATTTTGTGTGCCACAAAATAATATTACAATACATCTATTTGCATTTTTATTTGTTGTTTAAAAATACATACAATTCTATTCTGTTTAAAAAAAATTAAAGATTTGAGCTATTCATATTTGGTGTACAGACGTGTGGTATCATCTCATCTAAATCTTGGCAAAATAAGGGAATAAGCCATAAATGTCAAAATGTTGTAGCAGCTTTGCCTGTTTCCCCATTGGATTCAGTTTGCTAACAGTAACTGGATGTGCACCATCTGTATCTCTACATACTGCTGAGGGGATAGGAGATTATTTATACTTTATTTGAAGCCTCAGCAATTGGACTTTCTTGTCACCCATAACTGAACGACGTATTCTGCACAGTGCTTGAGGCATAGTCTGTCCATTGTTATAAATCGATTCTGCTGCCAGAGTTACACCAGCAGATGAAGTGAGAGACCTTCAAAGGGGCTTGAAGGGATAAGTGTTATTAGCATAGAGGGAGACACTGGTTGCAACTATGCAGGCATGTACTATCACTTTATTTTGATAGTTGATTCTCAACACTTTGCAATACTTCAACTGTGTACAGTATCAGCTGACAGACCATTTGATGGGTATTTTTCTTTGAATATCAGCGTGCCTTTAATCAGCTATAGAATTTAGGTAAATGGTTCTACATCTAAATTCACCTGCTGGTGTCAGGCAGGCTGTAACTTTAGTTAAAGATATTAGGCACACAAAGAACTCGGTATATGGATATGTATGAATTTACGGGGGTTATGGTGCAGTAAGCCAACTCCACTTTCATGTACAATTTGGAATGTAGGAATCATTTTGTTCTCCCCAAAGGTTCCAAGAGTAAAAGAATGAAAGCTTTATCAATAATTGATGGTAAAAGTGAAGCAAATTGCAACAAATAACTTAATAATTTCCTCTGGGGCTTTCCTCCTTATTTTCCTGCAGCAGAAATAGCTCTGTGCCTCCATAAAAAGGTGCATTAGTAACAATGCCCCTCCAGGTCATATAGTAAAATGTGGCTTTCAGTTAAACCAGTTGAAATTTGATTATTTTTTAATTATATAAAAGAGCAGCAGAAAAGGAATCCACAAAAATATTCAGGGGCAAAAGGCAGCAAGGGGAAATATTCCCATTTAGCTGAAAATTTGGAAACAACATACATCTGAATGTGTCATGAGCTGCACCAGTCACGATAAAAACATAAACATTATCTTTGTTTTCAGGTGATGGACATTAAATTATTTGTCTCTGTGGAAACACATTTCGGTCAGGTGGCATGTAGCTCTTTAAAGAGCCACATTTAGCACTCAGAAGCTCAGAAGTACAGGCAAAGAGAAAGCAAGTGAAGGCAGCATGAACTCCTGTGCAGTGGGTCGGTTACCTAGCAACCACAGACGCCAGTGCTTCGCTTCCCGTAGCTGAGGATTCACTTTTCTGAGGTTTTGTGACCTTTACTGGGTCATTTGTAGCCGGGAAGATGGACGTATCAGTCCAGGCACAAACCAAACCACTTTCTACCTTGTCTGCCTTCAGTTACATCCCACCACGACGAAAGGAACCAAAAGAAATGTCCTACTTTAACAAAAACTCAGAGGTAAGGTGTTGGAACAGAAACTACGAGAAGCTAATGTGGTTAACTCACTAGCTAAATATTTAAATTTATCACGATACCTTGACAATATCACAGCAGAAAATATGTTCATATAGGATTCACACAAGTCACATTCTCCACATAGCTAATAATATATGAAGACGTGTGTTACAGGAAGTCAGGGAAATTAGTTAACTTAATGCTAACGCTAACTGCCTAATTTGTGAAAGGAATATTCACAGATAGCCAAGAAATGTGTCCCCACAATATACAGTATACTAGAGGATATTGTAATTCAGTAACAACTTTTTTCACTAGCATCAGGGTTAAGAAACATAAAAGTTAATAACGTGTAATTCATAAAATTACTTACAGAAAGACATGGAAATATTATAAAACCACAAAATTAACCTTTGTCCAACAAGGATACTACACTAATACCATGCTTTTAAATGATTCATCAAAATAGCATAGCATTAGCATTCATTAAAACAGCTTTGATGTAACTTAAACCACTCTTGAGAACAGATTTCTACCTTTGGTTCTACCTCTACCCCCTACAGCTTGTCCAAAATGTGTGAGGACAGGCTTTGAGTGCTAAACATGTGTTCTGTCTCCCCACTTGTAGGTCCCAGAGGTCTCCATGTATGACCATGTGTACCATCAGGCTGAGGGTTATGATATGAAACTGCACCGGGATGACAGACAACATCATAAAGGAAGAGGTCTAAACATGAATGAAGAGGTAGTGAATGCATTGAAAATAGTGACTATTTTACTTCTCAAGAATCTCGTTTGAACTGCTTTGGCTTGCTGATGATGATGACCTTAGTTTACTTAATTTTGACTCAGCAAGCCCTTTATACCTGTCCCAGACACTGGAGTTACATTGAAGCAACAAAACAAAACAAAATGGCAAACATTTTGCATTTCAGCTTGAAAAATAACTGAAATGATTATTTGATAATGAGCTTATGAAAGTAGTTGTTGATTTTGTCAATTTTCTGTCAAACGACCAATCATTGCAGCTCTGTTGTTGGCTAAAATCCATGAATTGTCCCCACGATGATATGGAAACACACGCACGCACACACAGTGCACACCACTCAGTGCTACAGACATACAGTGGCAAGAAATTGATCTGATCTCCATATAACAAGTATAGAGAAATACAATGTGCATACAAACTCACCACAAAAGATGTGTAAAAGATTTTTAAATCACCTGTAATTATTGTTGTTATGTTTTTATTAATTATTATTCACCGAATTTCGTGGCCACAGACATGAAACATATACTACTACACATACTTCTGATTAAAATCACTCCTTACTTTTGAGTTGACCCACCAGTGAATCGGTTGTACTATGCTATCAGGGATTTCTTTCAAGAAGATGAATCTTTTATTTACCAAGTATGTTTTTACACACAGGAATTTGACCTCTGCATTTAACCCATTTAACCCAGCAGGCAGCCACAGCTGCAGTGCCTGGGGAGCAGTTGATGGTTAGGTGCCCTTCAGCCACAGATATTGAGAGAGGGGAAAAGCGCTATTCATTCTGTCCCTTCCCACATTTTCTCCTGCTCATCCAGTTAATCAAACTGGCAACCTTTCAGTCACCAGCCCCGTCTGTAACCTCTAGGTCACAGCTCCCTTTCAAATTGTGTTTCCTTGTACGGGTAATATGTTGAAAACTACTGCATTATTTTTATGACTTTGTATAGTGCACATGAGCAGGGGCACAAACAAACCTTGTGCAGTTGTTTTACAGGAAGACGCAAAGCAAAACTAATGAAATGAGTAGTTAAACTAATACATCACAGTGCCTTTCTTCTTTTCCAGTTATGATTTCAGTGGATGCTTCCTTAGAGCACTGACCTCCTGTACACTTGGCACACAGACCACAGACCACAGACCAGTACATTCATTACCACCCTACTTAGCTGATAATTCACCATCATCACTGTTTCCTGAACCTCAGCAGAAGGTGCTGCTTATTCCTGCAAACACGGAACTTTCCAAGGTTTAAATACTGACAGTAACGCTTTTGGAGTGTTTATAGATTGAAACATCAGTATATTATGCAAATGAATTCTAAAATTGCATACATTTAAAATTGTTCCATATTTATAAGTCTGTTAACATTTTTTTTACCATATGGCAGCTGACATATATCTCTAAGTTTTATGGCATTTTTTTATCAGTCATTTTGAAGCTATTTGATCTCCATAGAGTAATTATTCATGTCAAGAAACCTAGCTCACAGTGAGTTTCTGGGTCACTGAAAGCAGAGCGGATGGTGCACAAAGCAGCCACACACACACTGCTGAGTTTGTAATTACAGTGAGTTGAGTGGTTGGCTGTCAGCTCCTGCTGAATGAGGATGTTTCTGTTCCAGTATTCACATTTGAATATGAATTAAAAATATGTGTTGCATAAACTGTTCATAGGATAATGGCAGTCTATTACTTTTTTGTTCCTGTTTCCACTTAAGTTCATGAACATATAAAACCACTGCAGCCAGGAGCAGGTACTGTCTGTTCTGAAGTCAGAGGCTCTCGCTCTTCAAAAATCTGTGTAAAAAACTCAGACTCACTGTTGCTCTGGGTAATATTTAGCAGTACATGTACTTCAGTTTTACCCAATATAACATTAACAATGCATTGGAAGAGTCTCCTGGAAGAACCTGAAACTGCTCACCACCTGTCACTCTCTGTGCCAAAACGCTATCTATCTATCTATCTATCTATCTATCTATCTATCTATCTATCTATCTATCTATCTATCTATCTATCTATCTTTTTTAGCAGGTGGAACTGATTCTGTTAATAATGGCTCTGCTTGATTAGGACATGCACAATACCTGGAACTGACACACTGGATGCATTCAACATTGTTATTAGTAAATCCTGTGCTTTTCCTGTGATGCCCTGTGAAAATGTTAGATGATAACAGATCATCTTTATTTATTTATTATACCTGACTCCTTAATTTGTGGAAATAGGTTATATTAGTAGACTTATGTGGATCCTAAAAATCACAACTAGCACAGCTTTAATATTTACTCCATATCTCGCTGCCTTGTTGTCCCGCCCACTCTCTCCCAGGAGAAGTCCCGAGCCGTGCCGGTGCTCTCCTCTTCAGAATACGGCAGTCGTCCAGTTCCCGCGCTCTATGAAACCGGCCGGCACTACGCACGTGTGGCTTGCATAAAAGCTGAATTTTTCATGAAAAATGGGATCATCTGGAATGTGGCAGAAGGATACGGATCAGTGGCCCCCCTTTGAAAGCCTGAAGTATAGAGTGTTCTCACTGTGAAAGCATTGAATAAAAAACAAGTGTTGTAGTGTGTAGATTTCACTTTACTTGATGGTCTATATAAAAAAGAAATCAAACCAATTAAACCATAATGTAATCAGCTGGCATTTAATTATGATATATATCTGTATTATTAACTGGTAAATAGCAAGAAACACAGAGTCTGTCGAAAGACTGTAAAGAGTAAATGAGAAAAATATGGAGACTTTGACATTTTCTGGGAAGCTCAGGCTACATTTCCTAGTTTGAGGCTGAAATCACTCCATCAATAGGACCATCATGTAAAGGTTCAGGTGGTACAGACTCAATAAATCAAATAGTCTTCTAGTTACTGCAGCTCAACATTGCAAATGATATCAAAGATCAGAGACTTGGTGTTAACATTCCTGCCTATAATGGTTGTATGAACTTGAATGACAGGAATAATGTGAATTCTTAAACCGACTACCACTTACTCTAAAGTATATGATTGAAGCGCAGAACATTGATAATGAAATCGCTGTCCAAGCCAATCTAAGGTACTTTGGTCAAAATATGAACCACCTTCTCCTTTAAAACCTACTTCTTAGCTGCTTTTTAGCTTTAGACTTTTGCCATTGTACGTTCCTTATATTTAATCTCTCCTCTGCCTCGTGCGCAGTTCTTTTTGTGTATCCCTGACCTCTCTGATTTGCAAGCTCCTGAATTCTTTTTGTGTTTAAATTCTGAACCCACACAACTGAGACCAACCTATTACATAAGGTGATTTTTTTTGACATCTCTCATTTGCCTTTATACTCATAGACATTTTTTTCTTAGAAGGGGTACAGTGTTTCAATCTGTTTGGTGTTACAATGGCAGTGTTTATTTGATAGGAGCTAATGTTGTCATGCAAGGTAGTATTTGGTCATAAAAGAATGGTTTCACACCTCAAACACCTCATCATCAGAGATTTCTGTTCAGTCCTAAAGTGCTCTTTGTATTTACCACACAAATGATTTCTGTTCATGTTGTTTATTTTACAAGAAAAATTATACACGTTCTGTGGATATTTACTCTGTTTAAGTTCTGAAGTATTCACGTAAGTATTACGTACTAACATTGACAGTTTGTATTTGTAAGGCATTATTTTCTCTTTAATGAAACAGCCTAAAGACTGATGACACTCTCATATCTGTCAGTTAAATATGAAGCTACAGCCAGCAGCTGATTAGCTTAGCACAAAGACTGGAGACAGCTAACCTCCAACCAGCACCTCTAAATGTCACTAATGAACACCTTGTGTGCTGTTTGTTTAATCTGCACTGTGCTGTTTACCCCTGTTTCCAGTCCTTGCGCTAAGCTAACTGGCTGCAGGCTCATGTTTGACAGACAAATATGACAATGGTATCAATCTTCTCATCTAACACTCCACCAGAACGTGAACAAATGAAGAATGTGAATGAATGAAGTGTATTTCCCTAAATGTTGAACTACTGCTTAAAAGAAAATTGGTAATAGAGCCCCTGTAAAAGTAGAGATGGGTATTACTAACACATTCTGGCCTGTTTGATGGCTACAATAAATAACAATTACCAAAACCAAATCTGTTTTTCTCTATTCATTCAAACTAATGATCTTACTCTATTGTAAGAACATCCTGTGAATGTTTATACACAGTAAAATTCTGCCATGGTGAACTTGTGTTTAAAGCACTAAAGCAAAGACACAAAGACAGAAAACGTCGTTGTTTATATACAAATGTTTAATGAATAACAAAAGGATGGCAGTGAACATTTACACACATTGCTGTTGGTTTGGTTCCAGATGGATTATAAAAAAAGAAACTTCTACTTTCCTCTTGAATCCTGTGCCTGAGTCCACCTACTCTTCAGTGGGACACAAACGCAGCTCTAAAGCTTTAAATACAATTCACAGGTTTTGGCAAACTACTCATCACGCTGGCAATTTGTTGGCGTCGACTGCTCTATATGACAATAAACTATTGTAACATCCATTTGAAATAAAATGGAACAAAACTGGCTCACGGTGCCAACCAGGCAGATATAATAATAATAATAATAAAAAATAAAAAAAAACACAGCTCGGCAGGCAGCTCAGTTTGCTCAAGTATAAGGCTCTGAAGCACTGCAACACTGGCAATTGGGTAATTAGCTCCACACCACTACTACTGTACAGACGGGTGACTGTGGTCCTTGAGAGCTGCGCTAATTTAGCAAACCCCTCTTTAGTCAGGCACTCCTTTAGACAGTGAAGAGACTCCTCAGAGCGAAGTCCTTGTTACACTCGAGACGTGAGAACCATCTGAGGTGCAGTGTTGAAGGGCCGTGGTGGTGCACCTCGGCCCCGCTCTCCCTCGCGGTGCTAAGGACAAAAGTTCTCGACAATTGTCTATCCGTTGCACTGCTGGCTGCTGGTAATGGGTTTTAGTTACGGAGCATGACGATTCACTTCTACGGCCACTTTTCGTGTGTGTGTGTGTGTGTGTGTGTGTGTGTGTGTGTGTGTGTGTGTGTGTGTGTGTGTGTGTTTGTGTTCTCATGTCTGTCCTCAAGTCTGTCTGTTTGTTTGGTTAGTGTGGCACGCTCAAGGCATCACAGTCCCTTGTGACAGAGATCGGGTCATCTCCGTGTGAACAAAGTAGGTCTTCAGCTCTCCTTTGCCCTTCACGTTAATGATGCCACGACATGAACACACGTACCCTAATGTTGACAAGATACGACTCGTCTCCTCTGTTACCTGTACGGATAGGAAGATGCGATTAGTTTACTAACACATTGTAAAACACACACCTGTATTTTGTAAGACATCTCACCTGTATTTTTCCCAGTACCCCAGTGGTCTCCATCCTACTGGCCACATTTACACTATTTCCCCAGATGTCATATTGAGGTTTCTGGGCCCCGATAACTCCTGCAATCACCGGGCCGTGGTTTATCCCTGGCAAAAAAAGCCCACCAAATTTAAATAAACATTAACTTTAAGTTTTAATCTGCGTGTAAGGAAAATAATCAACTTTGTGCACAATTTACAATTTTATGCAGTGAAAAACTATTCTCACCGATTCTGAGTCTGAAGTCGTTGAAGGAGTGTTTGTTGATGACATCTAGCTTCCCAACAAGAGCGAAAGCAAACTCCACCATCGTTCCTATGTGCATGTACTGTCTGTCATGTTCCTGGAGGGAAATGCAGAGGGGAGTAAAAGAGGTTGAACCATGTGTCATTGTAAAATTAACAATGATAACCTGGGATGACTGTAATCACCATGATTGGCAATCTCAGTCTCGTGTGGTGGAATCATTATTTTTGCTTGTCTATACTTTGGAGCTGATATTTGTAGCTTTGAATGGACTCAAAGGAGCATTTCTTTCTTTCCGTCTTGTTCTGTGAATCAATATATTTTTTCTCTGTAAAGCAATTGACTGCTGCTAAACCCCTCCCTCGAACAGTGATTGTCCAACTGTTGCTTGGTAACAGGCACAGCAGGTCTGTCAAGCTCTGGATTTGTCAGATGTCAAAGCAATTCTCCAAGAACACAAGAACAAAATTTCCAAGGAACGGATCAAACACTGTGATTATTGTCAGCTGTACGGCTGTAAGCGTCAAACGTTAGCATCTCCAGCTAACTAGCTCACGCATTACTTACAATCGTGGCCAAGCGTTGCCTCCAAGACTGAGGAATATTTCATCAGCTATGGAAACTACAACTTGTAGGGTTATAGGTTCTGTTACTAAAAAATAAAAGCTAGAAAAAGCTGCTGATGTAGGATATAGGATGCTACTATGTCAGGTAAAGTTAGCGGCACTGTCCTTTGCTTTATTGTATTTTGGCATGTTTACACAGAGAGAGAGAGTGTGTTGCGTTTTCCAAACTCATTAAAACCTTTCCTCTTAGAAAAATGATGATGAATAAAGCTAAAAAAAAGTATATCAATCTAACCCTCATGTTGCTCTTCTACTTATGTTTTTTTTAAACTTAAATTAGCATTATTTGTTAGCTAGCTACAGCTAATAAATCAGCCAGTTGCAGTCGGCATTTCAGCGAAGAAAATGCACGGCTAGGATGAGAAGCCTTAGTGAGCGGTCAATTAAGCAGATTTCCTACCAATCAAGCAGATTTGTTTTTACAACACAATGTGCTGCCACATTTCTGACTGATGATCTCATTTGCTTCCAGTGATTACACTCATGCATTCAAATGAGTTTAGTAATGAATCACTGATCACTGCCTGCATGCTATGTGCGGCACATTTTAAGGAGCAACCCACACAAAGCTTCCAAATGTATTTGGACAGCAACAAATACTTCATCCCGTTTTGTAACCATAAATGAAAAATGACAAGTTTACTGAAAATGAGCTCAGCCTGCCAAAACTCTTCTGACACTCTGAAATGAGATGATCATGTTCAAAACAGCTCTTGTTTTTGCCTCGTCTTCTGCTATTAAAGTAAAGCTGACTGCAGGAGCTTTGACCTCGAGACTTTAAACTCCGAGTGGCTGTCCACTCACTGTGTAACGCGATGAGGTCATATCTGTGTATGCACGTGTGTGAAATGAAGTGCATGTGTGTGATAGCGTGCCTGTGCGCACTCTGGGCCTGGTGTCACATTGAGTCCTGTTGCAGCCATATAGGTGCTGCCAATGGTCTTTATCTTCTCCACTCCGCTGAACTTTGGCTTGGACAGCAGCTGAGGACACATGAGGAATAAAGTGAAGATAAGAAGAAGAGGGGCAGGAAATAACAGCAGCTCTCAGCCAAATTCTCGCACAGTTTGCTGCTTCTCCTACTACTCTGGAGCATAACAACCGAGTGTGACTGCCTCTCATAAAAGCAGTAGGAAATGTATTTTTTTTTCATGTTGACAGACAGCCAGGATTATCAATAGGAGAGGGGTTTACCTCATCAAAGTCTGCTATGATCTCGTTGAGAAGACGGAGGCACTCAAGTCCTTCCTTATTCACATCAGACTCTGTATAAAACTCTTTGAAGTCTGGGATGGAGGCGAACATCACACACACCGACTCGTATGACTGATGATAAAGGTCCTGATAACAAGCAAGAAGAAAATAACAGTTGGATGTGCTGTATTGATCAGGCAGCGGCGAAGGAAAGCTAAAGACGAACGGTCCGCGGTTTCAATGAGTCTTCACCACGGAAAGAAAATCTATGAGCTGAATACGGCCACACTAAACAGTCTTTAAATAAATAAGACGAAACTTTGATTATCTCTGTGGGGACACCAGGTCACCGCAGCAGCAAAATAGCAACAGCATTCATCACAGGAAAGTCAGAACAAATGAGGGTACCCAGTTTACAGCACTGGGCCGAATTAAGGAGAAATATAAGGATGGAAAGTATGTTAGGCAAATAGGCTACATCAATAACAGCATACATGAAGGGACAACACACAACAGCAGCAGAGCATGAAACAAAAAGCTTATGCGCCTATTAGTTTATAGTGGAAAATAAAAGGATGCATGCAATGTCCAACAGTTGAGGACGGTTGGATTAAACAAACGAGATATAACGAGTTAATTAGTGAGTGTTAGAGGTGGCAGACAGATGGACAGAGATGGGCTCCACTTACACATTTACCATTCAAATCTTCAAGAAAGCGATTAAGTGTATTTCCCAAAATGTCGTATAGATGCTCATAATACATGAAAGATAATTACAACTACTCGTGAATCTAATAAAACTGTCATCTTTTCTCGGAAATTCACCTCATTTTTCCAGTTGCGTCCCAGGAAGTGTTCAGCGACGTGAGCAGGTAAGACGTTCTCCAGCAGAACCCGGTTGAGGTTCTCCATGGTTTCGATCTCCTCGCACTCCCTCTTGAACTTGTCCCTCCACAGGAAGTCCAACCTACAGTAATATTCATTCTGTTACAGGAGGACACAGAGTAAAGAGACACCTGTGTCATTCACACCGAGCACTCTGCTCCAAAGCTTCAGGCCACAGAAGAAACCGCCACCAAAGTCAAGAAGAGAAACTGAAATGTTGCCATTTTCGACTGGAGGTTGATCGGACAAACCACAAATGCATCTGCATCCGCCCCCGCGTAGTCCTCCAGCTACAGAAATTTGTCCAAGATACGAGAGCGTTTCCTAGAAAAAAGCTGCCTGTGCTCTCCTCTAATCATTACCACCAAATGGAATCTTTATTGGATTTCTAGGAAAACCTAACCAACGGAAACTAGAAAGCACGCTTGGTATTCATAGAAAATTAATGTCCCAATAAGAGGACACAGACACAATGCGAGAAGCTCCATTGTCATTGCTCAAGGAAATAGTTTGCAGACAGGACTGTTTTGCATAAAAGATAGCCACCGCTTCTTTTCTATGCTTTGGTTATTCATGCTTGAGGGAGTTTTGAACACATCAAAATATGTCAGCAAGACTCATCTATCGGGGTCAAAACATCCCAAGAGTGTGTGTTTGTGTATCAGGCATCAGTGTCACCCTGAACACTGCATCATTATGTTCATATATTTCTGAGAGCTCGGGGCAACTTGTGGGCTGGCCCCTGCAGTGTGTGTGTGTGTGTGTGTGTGGATGTGTGGGAACATTTTCAGTCTCCTGTGACATATATTTCACGTGTGTGGGTAGCAGTCTGGATGATGTATATATGCACTGAATATTTCTTCCCTTGGGATTAAGGTATGGTGCCAATTTAGAAGAACCAACAGCAAAGGCCTCTACACCACTCCTGAGATCTTGTGCTGCAGAGTCAGTAGCCTGAGGCTGACGTAGAAATATAGACTATATCCCAGCGTTAGAGACGGATCATAGTCTGAACCATTTGTGTCTGTATACATCTGGACTTTGAGCACTTGCTCCACTTGAGACGAGAGGAACTCCTGTACCTCCAGGAGTCTAGAAACTAGGCCAGAGGAAACTGAGCTAATTCCAGATGCCGTTTAGAAACCAACTAACAAGCTTGTAAATGAGCTTTGCTCCGTCGTGCATCTCTTCTTGAGGGATGAATTATAGATGCCTTCATTCTTGTAACCTGCTTTTTCCTCCCTCTGACTAAATGGCTGGGAATGGGCTCATTAGGGCTGACGATGAAAATTTTGCAAGGCAAATTTGTTAACAGCAGGCTAAAAGCATGTAAAAACGGACGCCTATAGCCCATGCACCCGTCAGATACAGCACACAGTTTCTGCACTTCTGTGTTAAGAGCCTTGGGTGACGTCACTCTGAACACCTTTTGACCTGTTTCCTGAATCATTTTGATGATAACAAATGAATCATTTTACTGTGTTAATTTATGCCCAAACAACATCCGGAAGGACGAACCCAATTACCCCCGAACAACCTTGATACACGCACATCCTGGACAACAATATGACAGTAACAAAAGAGTTTTGTGCAGCAAAGTTGTGTTTCCAAAACAAACGCTCCCCTCCCTTCTGGTGACAGTGACCCAGAATGAGAACAACAAATGAAGCTGATTGGACCAATGTGGCTCTCAGGGGAGCCCCGGTTTTGGCTACAGAGACTCTGGGGGGGGAGAGTCTTTCTGTCCTGAACATCTGTTTTGGGGTCAGAGATGATGGATGGTACCCCCCCAAAAAAGATAAAACACCAAATCTGTGTCAGCTGAGTTCGCTCTCACATTAAGTGAGGATGGTGGACACAGAGGAGATGGAGGCAGTGGGCCACGCGAACAACTATTTTGATCCTCCAGCATATTGTGCCAAATCCTTGAAGACAGGTTCAATAGCTTCCAAGTTTTGGAAGCTAGAGGGTTTTAAAAAAAATCCCTCATCCTCAGGCAGAGGATTTCTGTAAAACAAGGTTTTGCTATGGTGCTGAACGGCCAAATAAGATGGAGCAACTGTAGTGAATGACCCAGATAAACCTATAGGCTATATAAGCCAGAACATCTAGGCTGTAACTACAGTATGTGTCACTATTACAAAAGTGATGTCTAGTTGTGTCACTGTGGTGGCCAGTTAAAAGGATTACTGACCTGTCTGGCCAACACCAGCAAGGTGACAAAGAAGATGAAAAGAGACACAGAGCCCATTGTCTTTAGATCCTTCAGGACTCCTGGTCTGTGGAGAGAGAGCGAGAGAGAGAGAGAGAGAGAGAGAGAGAGAGAAAATACAATGTTGATATTGCTTAATCAACAAATCCCATGGAAAAACAACAACAACAGCAACAATAATAAATTGATCCTATTAGTACAGTATTCCATGTGTATCCAAATTCTGATCCATCTTATTCCTCTGTGCCCCATTGTTTTTCCAAAAACTATTAAATACACACCAGTGAGCCACACTTTTGCACACGTCAGCATGAACGGTATTTTGAGCCGGTCTGACATTAACCATCTTGGTGCCATAAATGCTTACTAGAGCCGAACAGCCCCCGACTAATACACCGTTTCCTCCTGTGCCCAGATGTTTTTTCTGGAATTACTTGGTTTTCTTCAGAAAACGATGCATCCATATCGAGCGAACATCTTAACCAGTTACTGTATTTGTGTGGTCGTGTGTGTTGAAGTGCAGACCGATTTTAAAGGTCGAGTGCCATTACCCCGTAAACCGATATGTAAATTTGACAACATTAAAGCAGACACAATGTTCATTAGGATATACTGCCAAACTCTGAAACCCTGTTCTGTATTTAGAGCGGCAATTTGTACGTTTTCTCTGCCGCTGAGCGTGGTCTTTTGCCAGGAGCGAGTGGTGATTGTCATTTGACAAGAGCTTTAGCCATCATTGCTTTAAAAGGTTATTATACGCCTTCTGAGCAGCGCCACATCTTCAGGGAAGATTGGAGGCTACAGTGAGTCGCTATTGGAAAATGACAGGCTAGCTGGTTAGTGTGATAACTTCAGTAGAAGAAAAGAATTAACATTGCTTTCCACCACTGGAGACAGCTGTTGGCGAGTAAAGGAATGAAGTTTGTTGCTGAACTTGCGACGTTTCTCCTAGACTGGTAATTAAACAGCTGTTAATGCTAACACTGGCTATGTAGCAATAGCGAAACTTACAAATATCTCCTTTAAATGAACTGAATGAACTGAATCCTTGAGTTCAAGAAAAACTCAAAATGTATAAAAACATAAAATTACTGGTCTGGTCCTTTGATCTTTTTTATAGTTATCTGTGTCTGTTTGTTGATGTAGATGTAAAGAAAACCGATCATCAAAGTTACAAGAAATGTTAGAAATTCTCCTTGAAGATCTGTAAGATCATTTGTTTTCTAAATCATGTGATGGGCACGTACCAAATGTTTTTACTGGTTTACATTGCAGAGTGAAGCCACTTGATGAAGTCAAGGAAAAAAGTTGTCTGGAAACAAAGTTGATTTAATAGGCAGTCCTTGTCTGTTTCCTTTTTATTTAGCCCTACATAACTATTCTATTCTCAGTGCTTTGCCAACAGAGATATACTCTTCGTGCTCATAAAGCCAAGGTGAGAATGAGAAACAAAGAGAGAAATATTAGAGTGAGAGAAAAGTATTTTCCCCAGTCTCTCGAGGTGCTGTGAAAACTTTTGGCATAATGGGATTTTTCAGCAGCGACACTCCAGCTGTCAATCAAATGTGAAAAATGAATTCAGCTCCATCAACACAAACGGCTGTATCTCATTCTGCCACTCATCATCCTCCCCTCCACTCGATCGACAGTCTTATGGGATCTTGCCACATCAGCAAGAGTCTTTCCCTGAAAACTGGGGTCCAGTCTTGTTCGTCTGCTCAACGGACACGAGCTGCAGGTTCAGAGGGCCTCAGACAGAGAGAACTGACCTGAAGTCAGCCTGATATCTGTCACTGTTACTTAGATTAGTAAGTAGAGATGGTGAATGAGATGTGTCTCTGTGTGTGCATGTATGTGTGTGTGCACTTTGCAGGTACCTTTCCAACTCCTTTGTGGGGTATGGTGCATTGCTTAATCCATCCAGCAGAAAGGCATGTGTCTGGAGGATGATGATGTTGTAGATCACCACGGCAACCAGCATCACCACCATCTTCAGCTCATAGTTGATCCTCAGGAACACTGAGCATGACACCAGGCCCAGGATACAGCAGTAGATGAAGTACTGGAGACGAGAGAAAAGAAAGATTTTCTGTAGAGGTGCTGCGCAGCAACAAATAATCTCAATGTGTTCGTATCAAGCAAAGAAAAAAAAAGTGTTCGGTGTATCGTGCTGCTCTAACAGCGGTGACTCACCCAACATATAGTTCCCAAGCAAGAAGAGGACTAGAGTTTGCATTCTGGCAGCAGAATAAGTCAATATTCTTATACAACAAACACATTTATGTAATTGTTTATGTAATACCAAAGAGTGAAACTAAACGGTAAGAGGAGTGAAAAGAAGCCATCTACGCCAAACTGGAGCGACCATCACTAAAGAGAGGAAGTGGTCTACAACACCACTCATCAGCCACTTACAATGCAGTCTTTAGATCCCTCCCCAGGCAGCTTAACACCCATTTACACCACGACTTGTGACCCTAACGATTCACCCGACGGCCGCTGGTTCAACGACTCATGTGACCTCGGCGGCTCTCAAGATGTTAACGAAACCCACAAGCGGGTAAATCCCAAAGACGCCTTTCAGATATGAGGTGAAACTTCAAGGAACCTCAAGTCTGGATGACTGGGAATCAACACAGACCATTCTGTAAGCCTATAGAGTGTTTTTGTTCGTGTGTGTGTGACGGCGTCTACCACCACTAAACAAGGCAATGAATGAAAGCCTAAAGATTTATATGTCTGACAAGCTGGCGCCACTGATGTTTCTAAAATAAACACCTTGGCTTGGCTGTTTTCTCTTGCTTGGTGTGAGATTATATCATGGACTTAACAGATTTGAAACGGCTACACACAAGTTTCCTTGTGAAACTTAATAAAATTGGCATGGCTGTCTCTTTGAATTATTTTGCTTTTATGATATAGAGACAGAGCTGTGTGATGAGAGACATTGCTTTCAGCAAATATCTAGCATCGGGTTTACACCAACATGTGAGGAGAGTGTGTTAATCAAGAACAGTTCCCTGAAAGTAAAAGAAATGTTATGCATGTTGTTTACAACAAAAATGTTGTAAAGAAAGATAAATCAGTATAAGCATGAATGTCACACTTTGCAGTTTTAGAAAAATGTCAGATTGTTTTTGGATCTGGTGGTCAGTGATTTCACATTTACATATTTCTCGTCTTTCTAGCCTCTGTGTGTTGTTGACCTCTCACTTACTGGCAGATAAAATTTGTTTTCTTTCGTGCTTTCCTCCTGGTACACCAACACGCTGCCATTACTTATATTCACAAGGGGAGTGGTGATCAGTACTTCAGGTGGAGTAGATGCTGGGACCTCAGGTGGAATAGATGCCGGGACGTCCTGCATGGATCCTCCAGGATCCTCCACGAAGAACTAACAAACAAAACAGAGAGAATGGAGGACAATAAGTTTATTGTTTTGGCAAGTTGCCATGAATTGATAGTTAACAGCCTATAGACAGACATGCTACATGACATGCATCAAGGGTCCCCCAGCCAGGAATTGAACCATAGACAATGCGGTTATGCAGTATGCGCCTTAGCCACTGGGCCACCGGACGCCCTGGAGGGCAGGAGGAATCATCCATCACTGAAATGTCACACAGCCAGAACAGATTTACATTACATCTGCAGAGGAAAGATTTACCCAGGAGATGAGTTACTGAGTCTCATATGAGCTAACTATAGCACAACTACAGGGCTTCCCTATTGAGGATATTATTCTAAATGAGCATGTTACTGCTCGAGTCTCGTAACAGAATACCCAACGAGCACTTAATGACTTTATTATTGTGGCACACATGGTGGAAACAGAAAGCACCATGATGATCATGAGACTTTGATGTTTCATGCTAAATTGGTGCAGCAATTAAAAATGAATGCAATATTCAACCTCAGAAAAGTATGACCATCCCGCTTTTAATGCCTCGTTACAAAACAATATAATGTATTATGCTTGTAGTCTTTTAATGCATTAGGCATGCGCACTGGTATGGACCTCACAGAAAATGTCTGTCTTTGTATCAAAATCCTACAATAGCAAAGTATTAAAAAGCAATTTGACCAAAGCTTAAACTCAGCTCATGTTAATGTATTTATTTATCTTCAAAATCAACTATGCTGAATTGGTTTAAATTTTTTAGCATGAGCAGTTTCTTTCTGTCCACTGTGTTACTGCAGCTGCTATCATAACCCGCAGCGACCCTGGACAAACCAGATCCACAACAGTTTCACTTCTCACCATATTGAAGACAGCCATCACCAGTATGAGAGCAGTGGTCGTCATGGTGAGGACCAATCGCAGCCAGGGATTATTGGTGACGATGATGCGGGAGGAGGTGGGGCACCAGGTGAGAGAGCAGGAGCCCTTCCTCCCCTGCTGAGGATGCAAAGACACAGAGGGAATGATTAGACAGAGGGACAAGCAGTGGACAGAGCAAAAGAAATACCGTACAACTCACCCCCTGGGGACTTTATGGTCTCCGCCGCTGTGACTCAAACTAATACAAAGATACTGGCTCGGTGGAAAGTCACATTTGTTATTCATATGGCTCACGGCAGCTCATTCGATCTCACTATGTCTCAGCGAATCAGAACAAAGCCAGAAAGTATAGGATCAAAGCTCATCTATCACATACAGGCCAAACTCCAGCTCTAGCCTTTTATTTTTTTGGGAGAGTTTCAACTTAAAACATCTTTTATTAGTGTTATCCTCGATATCGTGTCTCCTCCTGTTCCTATTTAAAATCATTTTCGAGCGTAGTGTGACAGTTTCCTCTCGCGCATCAGGACAGTATGTTCATACTTTGCTACGAGCTCTAGCGGAGACCTCACACTTGGAATGAGTCCTTGGTTATGTGACACTTTCTAGATGAAAGAAATAAAAAAAATCAACAGCACACTTGTTTTCCAAACTAAGCGCGGTTTCATGAGGACATGAAATGCAGATATTTCCCTCTGATTCTCATAAAACAGTGTCAGTCAGTTTTACATCTTTTCTTGAGGTCCTTTCTTTCATCCGACTTAAAAAGACATTTGGCAAGGAATGTGTTTGATCACAATAACTGTGTAATGCTCTCTTTCACAGATGAACACAGCATGTCCTTTAACGATAATATGCCTCATTAATGATGACTCAGACAAACTGATTGTCCTGGGCCACATGACGGCACTTGGTTTGACCTCCTCACCTGCTCGGAGCCTATAAGAGCTGGGCGGTTTCAAGATGGCTCCCTCTCCCTCCCTCCCTCCCTCCCTCCCTGGAGGGCAGGTGCCGTTCAGCCACTCAACGTGGTTTTGTTTGGTTTGGATTGTGTCGTTTGTGTTCATGTTACAAGTAGTTAGGGTTAGCACCTACATTCAGTGTTGGGGAAGCTTCTGTGGAAGCACATTACTTTACACTGGAAGAAGTTAAACTACAGCAAAGCTACTGTAAGGAGAAATTTAGTTTTTCTTTAACTAAAGCTACTTAGAAAAAGTAGCTCAAACTACTTTGCAAGAAAAAACAAGCTCATATTGACGATGTACATGCGATACAAAATTATCACAAAATACAACACAAAATAAATACATGCACGTTTATTGCAAAAAGTTCCTACTTGTTCACAGGCCACACATAAACCAAAAAACTATTCATGGGAAAATGCTGGATTGTCAGCTTTGGTTTCATAAACAGCAACTGCTTAAGTATGGCCATGATAATTTTCCCTCATATTTCAGGAGGTTAATCCATAATGATGCAGTATTAGCCCTGAGCAACACCCGCCCCTTGGCTTCTGCACATGCACTGCACAAAGGTCAAGTGTGTGGTGGTGGCTGCCTGACGAATGCATTGCCTGGGCATGTCTTCACAGTATTCAGGATGACAGAGAGAGAGAAGCAGTAGTAAAATGAAAAATTACAAAATTAAAATTTCTTTCCTTTTATGGGCCAAAACTGTTTTTAACTTCAGTGGTTAACTACACAAAAACCTTAACTATTCAAATCACAATGCACGTCCACACTTCACTGCTCTTTGCTTACATTGAGTTGTCCTTGATAAATATCTTGTTTAATTAAACGGTTGCTATGTGGAACTCCCTGCTTGGTTACGTTCCTGAACGAGCCCGGGCAAAAAACAAAACCCAACCAGGTGCACGCAGCTGAAGCAGCACGCCCATTCACACGCAGGTAAGAGTTTGTTAGACACGACCTCTCATTAGTGAGTTGTGTGCTCTTTCACCAGTGACCACAGCAGCTTTTATTGAGAACAGATCGAGTGTTAAATTGATGGTTAATACAAACCCATCAAACATAAGCTGCTCTTATTGAAGGTGATATCTGGGTCAGGATGGATCCAAGGTTACTGATAACCCCCAATTACTCACAGGTGACCCACTTACTGGGTGATAATTCTCTCTTGAGAGGGAACAAGGAGCAAAATCGGTTCTTGAGGGAGCAATCATTTATTGATTGTCCATAAAACACTTGTGACAGGTAGCTGGAGAAGCCCATCCCTCCACTTGTGCTGGATAACAAACAACAGCTGCGACTGGATGGATGAGGACAATAAAAGGAAGATCAGCTCATATAAAGCTTACATATAATGGGCTGCAGCTGACACCATGGTCCAACTTGTGCAACAAAATGCGTCTGGATGGAAGATCTGGCCCTTAAGAAAATCCACTCTCCGTTTCAGTCCATTTCATTGTTATTTAAATAGCTAAATAGTCAAAAAGGTAACGTTATACCTTACAGTTTACTGTGCCACCCAGTTCGAACCATTGGACGCATTGACTCCAAATAGGAAGATCTCAACATAAAATCAGAACTGACCAACACTGAAACTATAAAGTCAACAGTCTATTTTTTGTTTTTTTTGCATCTGTACGTAGTTATAGGAAAGTAGTGCTTTCTGTCTTCGTGGATTGTGTCTTGGTAACATGTCACTAAGTGAAGGAAGAAACTGTTCAGACAATTAGCACATCGATAATGGATTAAAACCCCCTTAAAGACAAACAATACGTGTCAAAATCCAGAGAATACAAATGAAAATAGTAAGAAAAAAAAGATATAAAAGTTATAAGAAAAAACTTAGAAGATTGGACGGGCAATGCAAAATTCAAATTAATGAGAGCTCAAGGTTTTATCTTGTCAGAGTTCAACACTACATCGTGTCCAGAGGGTAAGTTTGATTTGCACCTTGTGAGCTGCTCACAACTAGTTCAAACATGTCCGCAGTCATAAGAGACCAGATTGGTAGATTTGTAGACAGAGCAAATCATGGTCTGTAACGATAAAAGTCAGACACTGTTTACTCCTGTAAATGTGGAGTTTCTGAAAGACTAGATAAATCATATTTACTGTAGTTCCTTCTCTAAATAAAGTTAATAGATATATATTGAGACACATGTAATAGATTGTTGTTTGTCATAGTTAAAGGTACAGTACGTCTCAATTGTGTAGATATTATTTTGATGGATAAGTCATTAAGCTGCAGGAAATTCCACGTGAAACTTTTAAAAGTGCTCAGGAGAGAGGAGAGGCTCTTCACATCAACCTGTAGGAAAACGACTGTGTCATCAGAATTTAGAGGACAAAGAGGGATAAGTGGGGTAAGTGCATATTGAATTTCTACACAAAAGAAAAAAGTAATTGTGTGTGTGTGTGTGTGTGTGTGTGTATTCACTGATAAATCCATGCAAACCCACCAGAATGTGACCAGCAAAGCAAAGGAGCAGGATCAAAGCCAGCAGCAGGAATGCCAGGCCAAAGGAGATCCCGAGCACAGCAGTTCTGCAACACACACACACACACACACACACACACACACACGCACATTACTCTAAACCCTCTTGGCACCTCTCGGCCCTCTGCAGTGCCGTCCAGGGAAATAAATGTAATGAAGGTCTTAATGTATTCTACCTCAGACTTGCAATCCATTTACATTGAGTAAGCATAACAGTGGATCGTACAGCAGCACAGTGTGTGTGTGTGTGTGTGTGTGTGTGTGTCACGATGAAGTTACATTCATGTATCAGATTTTCTAAGGAGGAACACAGCACATCTGATTTAATGATCTGTGCCATAAAACAGATGATGTCACGTCTAAAAGATGCTGCGACAAAACGAGCAAAGATAAAGATGAAGAGAGAGAGAGAGAGAGAGAGAGAGAGAGGAGCGAGAGAGATAGGGGTGAATTAGAAAATCAATGGCCCCTCAGATGCTGAATTACACCTTTGGCTCTCACAAGCCGTAAATTAGCATGACCGTGAATTTCTCTCCTCGCTGTTAAAGAGACGCCACACTTTGATTCACCTGATCTATAATCACTAGCAGACATGGTGCCCTTTCATCTCCATCTGCTTTTTAGCATTCTGCCTCTTGCTCCCCTGCCTCTTTCATTTCAGCGTGGTCTTGTTGATGAGACAGCTGGCGTCAAATGGCTTTTTAACATCAACCCGCTGCCACAGATGGAGTTTGCTGACGTTACGGGGGGAGCGCCGTGAAGGGGGTACAGACTTACTTGGGCAAGACGAGAACCTGCACGATGAATATGCAGCAGAATATGAGGCAGGCGCAGGTGACATAGTACTTGAAGGCTGGTAATGTTGTGGATCTGTACTGTTGACAGAAGATAAGACACAAAAACAACAAAAAAAAAAAAATGTAAAATTTTGTACATTATGAGGCTGCAGCAAAACAGACCAAAGTCAACAATAACACTGAGCCTGCACAGTGTAAAAATATACCAGACTTCTGTGTGGATTACATAAAGTATGACGCACAAAAAAAATAATCTGTAACTGTTATCGCATAAAATATATAGTGGACAACCCGTGTCCTGTATACTGCAGGTTGTTCAGGCCCTTAATGACTTCTGTTTCCCTGACACCTATACAATCCGATTGATTTGTCCCCCCCCCGGTGAACAATGCTGGCTGGTGTTTTGTATGCGTTCGCCTACCTCTTTCTCCAGAGCTTTGTTGTGAAAGAACAATGAGATCCTCTGGATGTCCTCAGACTTCAGCCACTGTCTGGAGACACAAGTGAAATAGACAGATTGAGAGAGAAGCGGGACACACACACACACACACACACACACACACGACAATATCGGCAAAACATCAAAATACAATTTCCAAAAACTACTACATGCAAAATGCAAAATGCAACAAACAACACCAAGATCGATATAGACGTCGTTTAGTTCAGTGAAATTTGGGATTACAGAACTGAACTGTAAAGTAAAAGTTCTGTATTTCACTGAATGATTGACATATTTCGAGGACATTTGTCTCCACATGAACCACATGTTCTGTTTTCTCTGGGTTGCCGTGGTTTTTTGTTGTGTCGTCCTCGTTCGTTTTGCCACTTTGTGGTCACTGAGCCGCTACGCTACGGTCTGGATCTGCCTCTGCTTTCTATCTCTGACAGTTAAGAGATATTCTGCTCATTCATTACACTGTGTTATAACTTGGTTTACTCTGATTGGTGTTTGGAAAGCAGTGTTGTTGTGAGACCGGTCAGGATGTGTGTCAGAGGGGGGGTGCTCTCTTTTGAATGTTAATGATCAGTGGGTTTCTGCCTGGTTCTGCTCGACAGGCATTTGTTGGGGTTTTTCTTTGTACAGTATGAGTAAAATGTACCTGCATGTAGAGATTCTGAGTGGGTGAACCTGTGATGACCGAGTGGACCCCACAATTCACCACCATAAAGCGCAATGGGCAGAATAACACCATCAAATATTTTAAGACAGATTTTAAGTTAAAAATTTCTATTAATAGCATTTAGAGCTCTTACATCTGTTTATTTTTAAGCTTATACTTTTCGTTTTGAAATAATTTTACAAAAAGCCAACACTTGTCTTTTCAGTGAATAAAGCCGGAGAGTGTTTTCTTGTTTCATGAATAATAAAATTTATGGTAATAAGCCCATTGAAACTGTTCCGGATTCAATTACATTGCAAATATTGTATACTTCCTACTTCTTGTGTGAAATTCGCAATAAAATACCAAAGACAACAGGAACAAACTATAGTAAGTAAAACTTACATTTGTATATGAGTGAGAGGTTTCTGTGCATCATTATGCTTCAGTGTATAACACCTAAATGAACTCCTGAAGGGGCTTCCTCTGAGAGGGAGGTGGGAGGGAGGTGACTGAGCACGACCTGTGACTGTGAAAAAGTGATGCAGAAACAGGAAGTGCAGCGGATATGACTCTTACTTCTGTGAGTTGATGCCATCAATGGTGCGAATCATTCGCTCATTGAGTTCCTCCTCAAACCTCCTCCTCTGAGATTTGGACCTGCAGTTAAAAGGAAAGAAGGGGACACACTCACACATAATGAAGTCTCGCAAAGACTTAAGAGTAAAGTGGTTATTATACAACCACTGCGCTCACCTTTCTCGTCGCTGGAAGTGGTACTGCCCCATTGGAACGTCCTGAAACAGGAGTCACGACATTGATCTATCGATAACTGACACCCGTATCTGTGCGTGCGACGAGACAAAGAGCTCTGCGTTGTACTCACAGTGGTGTTGATCTTGCCGTTGTCTGTGGTCATGCTGTCTCGATGGTGGAGGTTGGCGAAGGGTTTGGCGGCTCCCCAGGACTCCAGGTACCGGGTCATCCTGACAGATGCCCTCATCTTCCCGCTGTCCAGGGAGGGACGAGAGCGCACACCCAGCAAAGGGCTGTGCCTCTCAGTCTGAGAAAACCAGGACACATGTGATCGTCAGTAACTGTTGTCAATCCTTTAACCCGTGGGTAATTCATCTTGACACCACATTTTAAAAATGAAATGTCACGCAAATAATGCTGACATAGATTCATTTAAGTGAACTGAACAGCACCAGCACCAGCACCACAACAACAACAACAACAACAACTGGAAAACACCAGTTGTTTCCATTTCATGATACATTATAAATGCTCTTGGACCAAAGGTAAGAAGGAGAGAGAGCGAGACACCATGTGGGTTACCATCCCAACCACATTAAAAGTGATAGTTCGGGTTATTTGACGTGGTGTTGTGTGAGGTACTTATCTATAGTCACTGTATTACCTGCAGTAGATTTGGATCGCTGTGCTGTCATTTTTAGAGAAACAGCTGGTGACACAGAAGCTGAGCGAAAACAAAACGTGCAAAAACGTGTTTTAGCCAAAATTCCTCCAAAATGGAGAGAAAATGTAGTTCCAAAGGAAAGGCCTGTTTGACGGCAAGATAAAGTGGTGAAAATATTAAAAAGAAAAGTTTACACTTCAACTTATATAGTTTATTTTCTGTGAGCTTTTTTTGTGTGGCCATTTTATGCCTCTATTGAATAGCGTAGTGGAGACAGACAGGAAGTGCAGGGAAAGAGAGAAGGGGAATGACATGCAGACAATGGCTGGGAACGCTGGGTATGCGCCCTTACCATTCAGATATCATGTTGCCCCCTGTGTGGCTTAAACACGTTTTTGTGGAAGGCCCCGCCCACAGCAGCTCATCGCTCAGCTTCTGTGCCGGTGCAGGTTATACACCGACTACACAACCCCACGTCAAATAATCCCGACTGTCAATTCAAGATGATATGAATGATAAATACAACATGTAAAAACCTGACCGAGCTGATCTTCAAAATGGAGAAGAAATATCACGTAAAACCCACTTTGATCCATCAACTGCAGCTGTGTGAGCCGGACTTTTACGCATGTACTCAGCAGGTGTGAGGTAAGAAGGACTGGGTGCTTTGGGAGCAGTGATCTCTTGACTTCTGTGACCTGCCTCTCAGTGTTTTGAGCCACTTAAAACACTTGTAGTCAAGAATGATGCAGTTCTCCTTTTATTTTGGGCGGTGTGCCAAGTGTTTCTCTCTGACAAACTGCGCCCAGCTTCACTGCTGAAACAAATGTTGCATCACTGTAAAGCCATAAACCAGTGAGAGTTGAAGTTTTTCTCCTTTTCCTGCATTTTTGCCCAAATGGAGACGATATTTCAGCGTTTGTTATAGGTAGAATCTGGTGAGGTGACAAGCCCCATACCTCTGGTGATTTACTTTAATTTCTGATAGAGACGGGTACACGGCACAAAAGCCTGTAAGAACTGAAATAGACAATGACTGTGTTCATTTTCAGCAGGTGTGCTGAAAAGCTGTGACAGTGACAATCAATGACAATGACAGTGGAGATGACACCTCCTGTGATCCATGCTCCATATTTGGCCTTGGTCCATTCAGGGCTTCCTGAAAATGTCACATCCTTTTCCCAATATCTGATAGGACATTGGAAAAGCCATCTCCATTAGAGTAAATAAAGGTTACAGGGCAGTACTTTAACATTATTATTGAGACTTCCCATAAACTATATTGCTGCTATATTGTGAGAAGGAAAATTACCACACTAAAAATACCCAGACGCTTCGGTTAAACCTAAAACTGCAGGTTTGATTCATTACTGTAGGGCTGCATGGAGCAAGAGTAAATTAGGTCTCTGAAGTGCTGCTACTTTGCATTCATAAATAGGATACTAGAAAAATCTGAAAAAAGTTAAACGAAAAATATGCAAACAGTATAAATACCAAACTCCCATGACATGCTGTAAACAGAGGGCTGATAACAAGCAGCTTGTACTGTTGCCAAAATAACTTCTCATTTCAAACTGAAACACAGCTGCTAGAGTTTCAACAGAACACTGTGATAAAGGATGTTGAAATATGTTCATGTTGTCGACTTCTTCTTTCTCTGAAATTCAGGATGGCACAGAGGAAAACCTGCTTGAGCTGTATAAACGATATAAACTCATTGCTAACCATTGTGTCTTCTGTTATTCATGCAGAATGTTATATGGAATAATGCAGCTCACTTTTTGTGGAAAAACTAGTATATGCAGGTTTTTATCATGGGATTTTCTTTCAAAACAAAACTTGACAAATCTCATATAGATGTTATAGTGGTTACTCTACCTTTGGTTGTTTTTGTTTTCTTCTTGTTATTGTGCATTTGTGACAATTTAGTTTCTGTTTTCATTGTTTATTGTTTTATATATTACAGTTATTTTACTTATTTTTTGTGTTTCATCTTATTTTCTTTTTTCCCCTATTTTATTAATTTGAATTATTGTTTGTTTTATTCGTTGTTTTTGTGTGTGGACCCCAGGAGGAGTAGCCACCACTGTGTGGAAGCTAAAAGAGATCCAAATAAAGAAATAAATAAAGTATATTAACAACTCCTGTGAAATACTGGCAGAACTTTATCTTTCAGATCATTGAATCTGATACAGCTTTATTTGACTTCTTGCAAATTCTAATCTGGAATATGTTGCTACCGAGACGTGACTCTGAGAACTGTTTGAAGTCAGGTGATGACTTCATGTGAAAGCTACAGATCCCTGGTCAAACTCTTCAGAGATGAAATAGAAGATGAAAAAAAAGAAGACTACAGGGAGTCAAAGGAGCAGATTTGGAGGAATCGGTGCTGAAAAGACACCGTGGCTTTCTGTGTCACTGATGGCATTTCCAAAAGATGCACTGGAGAGTGTAAAGGTGTTAATTCTTGCACTGAGACTCCTCACGTCTATGAGGAAAGCAGATAGTGAACACAGGATGTCTTAAACAGGAAAAGGTGTCACTGCAGATATTTATGGGGGTGGGTGCATCTTAGCCAAGTTATGAGGGGATTATGGAGGCAGGACTGTTAAGCGTGTTTTTTTTTGCAGACTGGTTGCCAACAGTATATTCTATATAGGGATATTCTCAGCAGACAGTTCACAGAGGAGTCAGATGTCTTAAATGTCCTGAACCAGTCCTAAGATGTGTGATGTCTCAAGCAGTGGAAATGGACGTCACTTCAAACATCTTCTCTGAGTAGACAGACTGAGTGAACTCTGGCCCAGGTCTTCATTTGATAACATCCGTTGCTACACAATTGCATTATTTCCCTATACTTGACATTGTCAAAATTGTTCTGCTCTTGGTGGTATTTTTCTGAGTAAACCTGACCAGCACAGCAAGTGTTGGTGAAACAGTGGCGTTGTCCATGGTGCTGAACCCTCATAGTTTTGCACTCTGGCTCAACACACCTTCTATAAACGCCATGAAAACACAAGTCATGACCCAAAACACACACACACTGTCAGCAGTTACCTCTTCTGCAAACTGACAATTACTGTATGTGACTTTTCAAACTGGATCACGACTGATGACATATACTGGATAATGTAAAGTGAAGTGAATGTAATTATTTTTCATGTGTCTCCAAGAATTCGACCCTGCGTGAACTAAGAAAAACAGCCTTGTTTTCTGCTTTGTGAAAACACATTTGTCAGATAATCCACTGGGTTTCTAGTTGTGCTAGCAGCACGGCTCTAGCTCTCTCAACCACTACTGAATGAATTGCCATAAAATTTTAAACAGCCATTCATGGTACCCAGAGGATGAACCCTAGTGACTTTTTGATCCCCTGACTTTTCTCTAGTAGCAACAGGAGGTTGACATATGTGGTTCAAAGTGAAATATCTTGACCACGTTTGCCACATCCTTATTTTTCCTCTAGCGCAACCATGAGGTTGACATATTTGTTTTTTATTGAAAAAGCTACTGAATGGGTTGCCATGACATTTGGTACATACATTCATGATCCCCCAAGAATAAATTTTAACAACTTTTGATCCCTTGATTTTTCATCCAGCGGCATCATCAGATTAAAATTTGAACTAGTGCAATACTTTATGGCCATGTGCCTGCAAACTAATCCCATCCCCATCAGCCTCAGCTGTGCCTTGTGTTTGGTGCTAATTAGCGAAAGTTGGGCGGTTTTCGCACTTCAGGAACTTCCAGTATAAATCTGGAAAAAAATCTAAATCACATCAACATTTTTAAACGATAGCTGAAAACCTATTTATTTAATTAGGCTTTTAATTAGTTCTCATATTTTACTAATCTTAATGGTTTCCGTTTTATTTTCATTTACACATTTTATTGTCTACTGTCTTTCTAGTGTCTAATTTCATTCTCCTTGTAGTCACCATTATTTTATTGCTCTATTTCAATTTTTTATTGTGAAGCACTTTGAGATCTCTTGCATGAAAAATTCTCTACAAATTAAGTTTATTTATTTATTTTATTTTTTATTTTGTTTATTTATTTAAATTCAAGATGATCATAGATACATGGTTTTCTTTGGACAGTGAAGATATGTAGTATTTTGTCTGTGAAGTGATGGGAATACTTTCAATTTTTACAGGGTTAAGGACAGTAAAGGCAGTACAACATTATCACTATGGAATCAGAATAGAGTAGAATAAACAAACAGAAATGGTATGTTTCCAAAATGTTTTCTATATTGTTATACTTACTGAGTTCTTAGTGCCACCAGCTATTTATCTCAATGACCCAACATCTAATATTCATATAATGGTCATGGTTGGAAAAGTACATTAATTCATATTTTCTTTTACTATATTTTCTTAAAATTCAGTTGAAAATTTACTCTAAATTGTATAATCAGTTCAGATTTACAGCATTACACTGAGATAGCTTCAGATGCTCCTATTGTTTTGTTCCCCCTCTGCACTATATGTCATCTGTCAAACATTATTTGAAAGTAAGTAAAGTGAGTATTTTCCTGCATCAATTTCATATGTCATAAGATTTCAAAAGATTTCATAAGATCCGCCTTTGGGGATTGAAAATGTATTGTTTTTTTTTCAGTATCTCAGCTTTATTCAGTAGAGACAGTAGAGAGTAACAGTAAAGGCAGCAGAGAGAGAGAGAGAGACAGAGAGAGGGGAGAGGGGATGACATGCAGCAGAGGGTCCAGGCTGGATTTTAACTACGGCCGCTGCAGTAAAGACTCAAGCTTGTTTGGTTTACGATGGTACGCGCTCCATCGTGCAAGCTACCAGGGGGCTCCAATCACCTTTGTTTTTTACAAATCTTATGATGGGCATGACATTTTATTGTCTGGCACACAGCCACTTTAAAAATATATATAAAATCAATAGCAAAGTGAAAACAGGAAAAGGCAGCTGGGGCCACTAAATAAAAACAAGTCTAGAACAATTTTACTTTAACTAAGAAAGACTAATTACCCACTAAGTGACAGTCCTCAGTATTATCTCCCTCTCAGTGATTTCTGACCGTGTGCTTGAATGTATGGAACCATGTCGGAGATGGTTTCTGACCTTGGGGTTGATGACCAGGTAGGTGACCACTCCGTGCTCCTTCAGGTAGGAGTCCCGGGTCTGTCCGTCTCCAGGCTCCACCTTGTACGAGCCCTTCAGATGCTCCAGCGTCACGGAGGAGATGTGGACCCTCCTGGAGACGAGACGGGAAAGGGATGAATGGACAGATGATGAGAGGTTAAGAGCTTGCGTCACTGCGCCATTAAAAGCTCTATCAAACGTGTTATTTATTTTCCAGCTTCATAACTAATCTAACCTGCAATTCTCACTTTTCAGGTTTGTTTGTTACACCTGCAAATAGAGATGGACAGAGATGGAAATGTGCTTTTTTTTTTTTTTTTAGCTGCCATGATTTTCAGGAGCCTTTCAGCAGGCGTCAGAGGAGACTAACCATTAGCAGCCCAGTGAGACAACGTGGTGGCCCTGGAGAGCTTAGTTTCAGTGTAGCACACACAGAACCACCAATCAATTTTCCCAAGCTAGTTACAGAGCTGGGATTTCAGACCTAATGGCTTTATAACACATGTAGAGCTGATTGGTCAAATGTGGTGGCTTTAATTGTCTTAAACACTATAATAGAATTAGAGCACAAAATCCCACGCTCCATGTCCGTGTCTGTATGTGTGTGCATTTGTATATACCGTATATAAATATATATTTTTTCAGCTGAGTCTTGGTTAATAGCCTCTGTTGTTCCCTCAGGTGTATCATCATCTTTGGGTTTAAGGTTTACTGGGGTTCAGTCAAGACTGATACTGATATTAATATTCTTTTAGGGTGGCCTGGTCAATCTGTCATATTTCTTGGTGTTATTTGATAAATCTGATCATTTCTACACCAAAAAAGCCAAAAGAAAATTGCACAGGTTTAATGTTATTCTAATATGGGTGAGAAAACTTTCTAAACAGCCTCCTTGAGATACACGCTCTCCTCTGAAACTCAAGATAATGATACTTTGGTACTGCTGACCACTGGGACTTGCTCACTTCTACTTTAGGCCACATGGAGCTGCAGCGGAACAGATGGAAATTCACTCACTTGCTCAAGTGCAATTCAACATTAATCAGTGAGAGAGCAGGAAGTGTTAGTAAATTCCCAAAGCATATAGCTTCCTGTCTGGTTCACTGACTAAACCTGGCAACGCTGCAGGTACAGGTCTCTGGGTTGCCAACCAAAAGATAATTACAAAGATTTGGGGAAGCAGCACTGCAGCAGCACTGCAGTGAGATCACATTAAACTTTCTTTGTGTTATTGGTTATGTCTCACCCTGGCACGCCTCCTGCCTCCATGTGATTGGCTAGCGTGACATCATGTGACCATACATCATACTGCCACTTGCGCAGGCCAATCACACCGCAGAGGACATTCCCAGAATGAACACCAACACGCATGTTGATGTCGACTCCAGTGGCATCTCGGACCTTCCTGTGGAGCGAAAGGAAGAAGAAATCTTTAAATTCAAACTGAAACTGAAAGCATGGTTAGCCTAGCTTGGCATAAACCCTGAAAGCAGGGGGGAAAAAGCCCAGCTCTCCGAAGTCAAAAATCCAATCCTACCAACACAATAAAACACTTACTAACAGATTGTATCTTGTTTATGTAAATACATAACTTCTCATGTTGTGTTTTTTTGTTTATGTAACCATTTCTTAGCGAATCAAGTTTATTTACCAAAATGTTGTGTTTTTGGAAAGTAGCAGGGATATTTCCTGCTTTCTCTTTCTTTATATTTCTAGTTTGCCATTAGCAATCCTGCTGATTCACTAAATGGTTCAGTGTTTCCTCCACAATTTAATTGTGGTCAGGGCGGAAAACCCGCTTCACCAACAGACTCTGCTTCATCATGTCAAAGGTGTACGACATCTGAGGTGGATGGCATCTTTAATCTGATTGTGATTAAAGGTCAGTCCCGGCAAGCCAATATATTGGTCCATAAAACTAGTGTGTGTGTGTGTGTTTGTGTTCAGGCATGAGTGAAAGACACAGAGAGCAGAAGGGGGGGGGGGCATCTGCGAGAGAATATTTTTTCATTTGTTTGAAATTTTTATTTGTTCAGCTGGGAGGCTTATCATATTGCATTCACATTGTGTTTACTCTGGAATTCAAACAGAGCTGAAATCAAGTCTGGCATTCCTTCTGCTCAATCTGTTTGACAGGCGCGTGTTTGTGTTTGTTTGTGTGTGTGTCTGTGAGTGAGAGAGAGAGAGAGAGAGAGAGAGAAAGAGAGAGAGAGAGACAAAAAAAAGAGGGAGAGATCTGGTATTTTACTTGATGGCCTCACACATATCCAAGCCCATCTTCACGCAGTTCCTGGCGTGGTGAGGCAGAGACTCAGGCAGACCAGACACACAGTAGTAACAATCTCCCAGGATCTTGATTCGCATACACTCGTTCTCCTGAGAGGAGGAAAGAGAGAAGTAATGAGGGGATCCCTAAGTTATCAATATCTTTAGTGAGGGTTACCTATTTAAAAAAAATTGTGTTTCTCATGCTCTTTTCACCTCCACACACTCCGTCACATCCATCAAGCCCAAAACTCATACACCCACACACATAACACATTAGCCCTTATTCCACATGTGGGATGAGTAACAGCTCATCGTTGGACCGGGTTTATGTAACGGCAGCTTCGTCAGGCGGAAGGACAGAGCTGCTGGACACAGCACTGAAGGAGAGAGAGCCTGACTCAACTGTTTAGACCCATATAACTGAGCACCCATGAGACCGCGAGATTCACTCTGACCGGCCCACACCGCTACGACCTGCAGCTGTGGAGGTACGGCTGCGGAGGCCGAGTGTGGCCGCGGGACGGAGTGAACACTTGTTTCAAGGTCGCGCTTCAGATGATTGACAGCATAGCTCAGACACTGTTCTCTCCCCTCAGTTGTTTTTTTTAATGAACTCATTTGTGTACACTATTCAAACCAGGTGAGCTGAAAGCACTGTTTGAGAAAACACATTCTTTTATGCTTATTAACGTCCTTAATTTCACAATCAAATCCAATTAATTCTCAATGACAAACATCACATTTTAACTTTAGATTGAAACATGTTTTAAGTTATTCACTGGGCTCTAGAAATCAATCTTACAAGACCTTCTTAATAAAACCTTAAACTGAAAATACTGAGGGGTAGTTCACATGGCTAATTCTGGTGTCCTTGAAATTTCCATTCTATGTAGATTCTATGTGGTGCTGCAGTATCAGGGTGCATCATACTGGAAAGTGTCTCCAATGTTTTCTCTACCTCATTCACATACTGTACAAGGAGGAGCATAAACACCAAAACGTGCAGGATATTACAATCCAATACAAGAGCACAACAAAATACAGGCTTGTGAATTACAACAGAATTGAATCAAGACCTCTCTATTTTTTTCCTGAGAGAATGTGGTCCACCCCGGACAGAACAAGAGCTGAACATCCTCTGACGGTGCAAGTTACTACTACTTTTTCATTCATTCCTGCTGTGAAGCACACACAGTGTCCCTCTGTATGAGATGTGATATATGAATGAAGTTGTCTTGAGTTTACCTTTGCGATCTGGTCAAACTTGCCAAACAGTTCGTTCAGCATATGCACAAGTTCACCTGGAGAGCAGTCGCTGGCCAGCCTGGTGAAGCCTACGATGTCGGCGTACAGAATGCTGCAGAAACAACAAACAGGACAACTGATATTGCATTACTGAATAACACAACCATGTAATAAAACAGTTCATTGCGTAGCTAGATTTTCATTATCCTCTATTAGGAGAGAGGCATCAAGTTTCTCACTGTTGGGGATATTTGCTGTACTTGATGGGATTGCTTTGAATTAACTTGTGTCGTTCTCTGCAAACCCACTGAGTTCTTGATGAGCACGTTTACCACAGTGCTGACTATTAAATGTTCTGGAGTAACAGAAGGGATATTTTACTACAGAGGGAAGCCTTTGCGTTCATACTTGGCAAACTACAAACAACAGGTGTAGATGAAAAACACTCAGGTTTCCAATGCAATTAAACGAAATAATGCAATACATTTCTGTATCTAGAGTGTAGGTAACTTCTCTGGACCATGCACCTAATCTGTTAGTTTTTTTTCCATCACGATCAAAGCAACATTCTCAAATATTGAAAAATATTAAATAAACTTATACAAACAGCAGTCCAAACATTATGTCTCCACCCAGGGTGACAAGTCAACAAAGCTTCTACAAATATCAGAATATTTCCTCAAAGAGAAGGCCTCCAGGGCTGAAAAATGAAGCCAACACTGAAGCACCAAAAACATTTCCTCTAATGACCTCTTGAGTCTGGCTTCAAAAGTGAGTCAATCCCCATTAAACTGCCCAACTTTACAGCAGAAATAAACATGTTTACAGCCTGGTACAAATCACAGTTTTGGTCTCTATAGCTAATTTACTCCTTCATGACAATACGGGGGGTGAATCTTTATATAACTCACCTGTTTACATTTTATTAAAGTTGCATAATTGATGCATAATTGAGAGTGTTTGAGGAAGTATGCTTGCCACAAACCGGCATGCACCAAAGTCTCTGCTCCACATGTGCCCCACCTCTTTGCCCATTCTTGGATTAGCCAGGAGTCAGGCGCTGCCAAGATGGCAACAGCAGAGCAGCACCCCTCTGAACTTCAAAGCCGCTCCTCAGAAACATATGGGTGACGTCACAGAGGCTACGTCCATTTTATATCTAGTCTGTGGTAGAAACAGAATTCAGCCTGTTTCTCTTCAGAGACACCAATTATTACAGCTGGAGATACGATGGCGGCAGTAGCTGGTGTCTGGCTCTCCACTGACGGCCAAGTGTAGGAGGATCCCAGCCGGGCCGCACCGCCACCCGTCCTTGAGTGTCAGTTCTTTGTTCTGGAAAGATTGCCCTCTTCACTGGAGCTAGACCATGTGAGAACTTGTTATTATTGGAAGGATAATGGGCAGATCAACATGAACACTCACACCCACACACCTGAGACCCACTTAAAAGTGCCACTGTGATATTGTTTCTTCTGTGAAGCTCGAGCATTATGAGAAACAGGTTTTTAGAGGACATTCTCTGGAGAGGCTCTTGTGCTAAGCCTGGATTTGTGTACTCTTCTCTGTTTCTATGAACCCCCACAATATAGAGGAGGATGTCATTGAGAAAGGAAGACATGGGCTTCTCTTCATTTGGCAAAGTGACCTCAGAGTACAATGAAGGTGGATTAACTCTGAATTGAATTTGGGCATGACAGTGAAAAGGGACCAGGAGATGAGGTGCAAAGAAGATGGCGAGAAAGGAAAGGAGAGGAGTCGAGGAGAGGAAATAAAAGGAGATGATAGGGAGGTGAGAGGAGCGCTGAGTATAGGGGCAATCCAAAATGTGAGAGGGGAGGGGATGAGCAGTGATGAGGGGGAGGACAGGATGGTATAGGAGCAATCAAGCGCAGAGATGAGAGCAGAAGATAATAACCTTTGTTATGGAAGGCGCAGATAGAGGAGCAGGAACCTTACCTGACATTGGTGTGCCGCTGCACGTAGAGGTTGTGGAAGTTGTTGGTGCTCTCTGTTCTGCCAAAGTTCGGTCCCTGCAGCCTCTGGATGATCTCGGCTTTCATCACTCGCGCTATATGAGCCGGGAGTAAGGACAACAGCAAACGCTCCTACGGACAGAGAATGTATTTGGTTCATAAACTGGTTCGTCTGGATTTACGTAGGATAACATGATAATACCAATGACTGAATAACACTGTTAACTTCGTGCTACACAATAAACCTTCAGATTCTATGGCTTTTTCATTCAATGTGGCTGGACATGTTTCCACCTTGTGAGTCTGTGTGTGTGTGTGTGTGTGTGTGTGTGTGTGTTATCATGTCGTCCTGGTGACACCTACTGTAGCAGGAACTATCACTGAGATGGTTGTCAGTAATTTCACAGGTGTTTATGTGTCTGTTTGTCTGTGAACAGATTTCGTCACGGTGCAAGAGACTTATTCTATTATGTGCTGTTCTATTATGTACAGCTCTGTTCAATTCAGTTTCGGTGTTGTTCTCATCTATTTTATTCTTTTTTCATTCTATTTCATTTTATTCTATTGTGTGCTGTTCTATACTGATCAGTTCCATTTACTCTGTTCCACTCTATACTGCTCTGTTCTACTCTATAGTATTCTGTTCTTTTACAATCTATATTATATTGAGTACTGTTCTGTACAGCTCTGTTCTATTCTACTCTATTCTATTCTGTTCTGTTCTATTCCTAGTATTTGCCATTGTGTGCTCTTCTGTACCGATCTGTTCCATTCTATACTGTTCTGTTCTAATCTATAGTATTCTGTTCTGTTACAATCTATATTCTATTGTGTGCAGTTCTGTACAGCTCCATTCTATTCTAGTATTTTCTATTGTGTGCTGTTCTGATGTGTTCTGTTCCATTCAATTCTATTGCATGATATTCTGTTCTATTCTCTTTCTCCAATACTCCATATAAATATAGCCATTGTCATCCACAGCTAATATTTAACCGCCTAAATAGATTTTCCTTCATCCTCTTAATGGTGGTTCAATGAGGCTTATTTTTTTTTAGCACTGAACACAGGAAGCCAGAGTCAAGAAAAGAAGAGCGATTGAGGCACGGAAAGTATCTTCATTTTCAAGACCGTGGCATGGTGGAGGAAAGCAGTGGAGCATGTTCTCTATATTTCTGCATTGCCCGTGATTTTTACCGTGCATATTAGATTATTATGAGGAGATGAAAAGTGAAAATGAAATAAAACCTAATGATAATTAACAGGTTTATCTTAATTCAGTCAAAAGGTACAAAAAGCAGCCTGTGAACACTGCTGCATATCTACACTTGCAGGAAAGCACTTGTGGCTGACGTGCACTAAGGCAGTGAGGTGTGTCTCGTTACCACATCTACTTCAGTGGGTTTCTCTCTGTATGGTTTCGGACGCTGCTTTTGTTGTTGCAAAATTGTGACTACACAAAGATGCTTTCTGACCCTCACATGCTGACATCAGAGTTTTTAATGGTCGCTGTTGATGTTTTTAGGAAGTTGATATATTCTCTCCAGTCAAGTTCCACTAAAGCAGCACTGGAAATCTGAACAAGACATGTCATTGTATAGTATAGTCAGTAATCAGGGGGAATAAGAAAAGTAGAGAATCAGAGATGCGAGATCCATCACCCATAGCTGTTGTGTAACCATGTAAGTTGTGGGGATTTTTTTTGCTTTGATTTAGAACCGTGCACACTGGTTGGAGGGTTGTTTGAGGGTGATTGTGGTGCGTGTGTGTGTGTGCGTGGGCAGAAGTGTGGGTGTGTGTGCATGTTAGAAAGAGTGAATAGCTGCCTGAGGGGGTGTGACTCATAAATGCAGCTCTCAGCAGAGAGGGTCATTACATTGTTCACACACCACGGGCTCATTTCCTAAAACACAGCAGCAAATTAAGTAGAGAGAGGGGTTGGTGGTGGTGGTGGTGGTGGTGGTGGTGGGGGGGTATGCTAAAAATAGAAACCCACACCACCCGCACTTATTTACTTATTCAGCACTGAAGCAATATGAGCACTCTACTGTGAGCATGCAGAGGGGGTATAATAGCCTGAAGAGATGTAGCTTTGTTAATCATGTGTTTGATTAATGAACTAAAGTGATCTGTATTCAGAGATTTGGTGGTGTTTAGTTATGCACTGACATTTGTATTGCATCCTCACACATTATTAACACGCACACGCTCACGCACATACAAACTGGTGCGCGTGGAGAAACGTATGCCAAATAACATTTGTGATTATTCAAATACCATCTACAGCAACCAAAATGTTTTCACTGTCTTGTGGTGATAAATCTTTTACAACTTAATTCACGTGATAAAGAAAAATTATTAGATTATTTTCACTCAAGATTGTTATGCCAACCTGTAGAATAAATGACGTATAAAACATGTCATAAATAACTTAAATAATAAAAAATTTTAATATTTGTATCTAATGCAGAGCATTTATAATATTTCATTATAAATGCATATAAAACATGCATTTTACAATTATATATTATGATTAATTATGTGTTTCACCATTTGTAAAATGAAATACACATTTTACAATTCAAACCCCCCTGCTGCGTAGACCACCACTTATTAATGTGTCATTTCATGTGTCATTTCCCTGGTTGGAGAGAATGGCTAATGTCAGGGCAAAGGCGCTAATGTCAAGCAAATGTCACTGCATAATGCCTCTTTAGACATGATCGACTTACCAAGTCAGCCCTGCATTGAGAAGTGAAATATTTTGGCTATAAAACAGAATAAGTTTTTCATTTCATATGGGCTTAAGTGTGTGTAACTCTAAGAGCGAGGCAGGAACAACAAGAATCAAGAGTCCAGTGCCGCGCTAGCAGCTTAACTCAAGGGTTTACGTTTGAGTGTTACATTGAGTGTTGATCTTTTTACAGAGCAAAGGTGAAGGTGACAGAAAAAGCTTCATTCTCAGAGCAATAAAAATGACAAGTGGCAATAAAAAAAGGCAGACAAACATCAAGCAGTCAACCTCTGTCTGCAGCCATGCTAGCAGCTCTGTGAGACTGTACTTAGGCACAGTTGTGCTTTTAGCTAAATGCTAATGTCTGCCTGCTAACATGCTCTCCAGAATAGTTAATATGCTGACGTTTAGCAGGTGTAATGTTTACCAAGTTCACCACATTGCGTTAGCATGCTAACATTCGCTAATTAGCACCAAACAAAAAATACAGCTGAGGCTCACAGGAATGTCATTAGTTTTACAGAAAAAGTAAACATTTTGACCTGATAACAGCACAAGATGAGAAGTCACAGGATCACCAAAGTGATTACAATTCATCATGAGGGAGAAGTGAATATCTGTACCAGGTCTTACATCAATTCATCCACTATCTATTGAGTCATTTCAACAAAAAGATACCAATCTCCTAGTGTCGCTAGAGGACAGGTCATAGGATCATCAAAGGTGGAGTGACAGAGCTACATGCTAGTGCTAACCACTGCTAGAGCCACGCCGCTAGTGTGGCTAAAGAATTGTGTAGTTGTACAGAGAATGCAGAGACACTGATGAGTTAATGTCTCATGTTTTAACTAAGGTATTAGATTGTTATTTGTGACATTTTGAATCGTAGTCTTGTATTGGAACATTTTATTCCACAGTAAAAGCAGGCCATGCATCCTCAGTAATCTGATGACAGCAAATGATATTAGACTTCACTTCACATATTATTTCAACCCAGGGCATGAATGTAAACATGTACCTGTTGGTGCTTCTCAAACTCTAGTTTGATGGGCGACTTGATGCAGTTGCAGGTGTCTTGGTAGGTCTGTTTGAGAGCCAGGTCCATCAGATGCTTGTGGTACGCCCCAGCCAGGTTACCACAGGTGAATATGATCACGTTGGCTAAGATCTGCCACACACACACACACACATACACACACATAAAGAATAACGCATTAAAATATTAGGTGTATGTACCTTTAATTTTCCCACTATCAACCTCCTTCCACTTATGTCTGTATTACTGCCTTGTAAAACCAGCCCAGAGCACACACTTCAACTGCACTTTTTCCACCACTATGTCAACCTCATGCTCTTTTAAATGTGGCCTTGCATATCAATAGGTTGTCCTTAGTGCTGTATCCAGGGGCAATGAGCGTCTTACAGCATGTTTTATTGTTGGTGTGCTTTTCCACTGCGTATGTGTGTGAGAGACACAGAAGCGAGAGACTATATGATGATTACAGTGTTATCAGCATGTTGACTTTGATGGTTGATTAGAAAGAGTCACTGTGTGTGTGTGTGTGTGTGTGTGTGTGTGTGTGTGTGTGTGTGTGTGTGTATCAGACGTACATGTGATACAGTTAATTTCACTTTCTGTGGTAACTGGCACGTTTCTGTATTTTTGATTAGTTTTACAGATCATATTCTCATGTTATTGGTCATTGTTGTTTTGTTTTTTTTTTGCTCTGGTATTATGAAGTTTCTGTTTCGTGGTGAGATTTTCTTCTGTATCAAGGGTCCATTCAGTTAGAGCCAGTGTTTTAAGAGCTGTTCCCTGAGTACATTAAAAGGCGGTTTGTTTGACTCAGGAGGCTTTTCTGAATGTGCTGTCACATTGATACAGGATGGGTTCACGGTTTTATAGCCCAAACATTATTAAAATGTTGTACCTCATCATCTTTAATCATGCATGGAACAACTTTACCAATTTAATTTTGATAAACTAACCCCTGCGCTGCAGCAAACAGTGCAGTGAAGCAATCACTGAGGCCTTCAGGAAACTAAAATGGGAAGCTCACAGCAGAGTCACATCTACAGCACGATTTTGTGTAAAAATGTGGCTGTCAACAGTCTTTTTCACATGCACCTTTGAAGGTTTGAGTTTGTACAGTCACATTGTCTTTACCTGCCAGTCCAGAGCCTCCGGCTTTGGGACGGTGTTGGCCAGACAGACGCTGAGGGTGACAGTGTGCGAGAAGCAGGTGATGGCGCTGGCGATAATGGCCCCTCTCATGGAGAAGGGCAACATGGTGTAGACGACAAACACGATGAACAGGAAGAAGGACACCTGGAAATGGGAAACAGGAAGATGTCAACAGCTAAAAGGGGGCACACCTGTCCAAAATAAACCAGATCTGGTCAAAGCTCTTGATGTTTTCCAATATTTTCTGATAACGTGGGCTTTTTTTTTTTGTCAAAATAAATAATTTAACACAGATCACATAAATGCCTGCAAATGAATCCCACCACAGATTTTTGTTCTGCATCTTCCATCTTTGTCTGCTTTTTGTCTAAATACAGAACACAGCGAGTCGAGAGTTGAATAAGCTGCCCACTCGTCCTCACAAAAAGATCCGACCATAAACTGCTGATGCTATGATAAATTATCAGAGGTGAGTGGGCTGCTCACTTAGTTTTACAAAAAACAAAATCATGTGATAAACTGACCAGAAGATCCAAGTACAAGGCATCAGAGCATCGCTAAAGTACTGACGTTTAAGACACAAAATGCTTCATTTTTTCCTTACATATGGGAATAGATATGTGTTGTACTTTGGGGTTTCCTGCATGTTCACTGTGATCAGTCCTTTCTCTTTCCAGGTTTCCATCAAAGCCTCTCACTCCGCCTTCCCATCTGCTCTGACTTTGGACGTGTGTGTGTGTGTGTGTGTGTGTGTGTGTGTGTGTGTGTGTGTGTTTGTGTGTATATTCTTGTATGTTGTGTGCACATATAGATGTGTGTTTCTTCCTGTGTTGTTCATTGATACCTTTTGCCTTAACCTCCTGCCTCGTCCCTGTCCACTTCCTCTACTGTCAGTCCACCCCTTCCTGTTATGGTGGCCGAGGGGGCGACTGGTGTGAACGGATCACGACTTTTTTTTTCGACTGGGACAACATTTGACCTCTGACCTTCCTGCCTGTCTGTTTATTTCCCGTGTCTATCAGGTTGAAAGAGTTTGTCTGCAAACAGGAATCCACTGAGACTGACGGCGTGAAGTCACTAATTTTTCCTGAAAAACAAACCGACAGTTATCAGATAAACAAAATTTTAAATAATAAGATATTTCTGTGCTACAAGTCTCACTCTTCAAACAGCATCCAGGAAGAGCTCTTCACATGCTGCTCACAGTGTTTATGACATCAACATTATAAACAGTATCCGCAGTGACGGGTTACTTGGTGTGAGGTTTTATCAAGCAAAAACACGACTAGAACATTGGATGTAAGTGATTGTTTGGTTGACCGAGTTCCTTCTAAAAGAAGACCTGAACACAGAGAACAGAGAGAGAGAGGTGTTTGTGGAGGCTCAGACTTTTTGTTGCTAAGGGAACCAACATAGGGAAGGATGCTGACGTCGGAGCAGATGTGGTGTTTCTTCTATCCTGCATATTTTCCCATCACCTTCAACTCCTAACCCTGAACTCCCACCTCTGGGGGGGGGGTGACATCCGAGTGTTTTTAGGTGGCCGCAGGAATTGAGAATGGCAGCCCAATTTCAGGTGCGTCACCTGCTCCTGTCTGCGACGCAGGGCAGCCAGACACACTCCATCTCCACACAGCACTGAATCCTAATACACTCTCCAACACCTCGGGATGGGAGCCGCAGCCATCATCTCGCTTTAGCTTTAGCTACTTTTTTTTCTTTCTTTTCTTTTCTTTCTTTTGTTTAGAGCGCACCACAGCCCTCCTGTGTTTCACACAAAAGCAGCGCACGCTTGCTTTCCTCCTAACGCAAACACACACAGACGCACACAATAGGCATGCTTGAATGCATCAAAAATGTTTTGCTCTCCGCTCACTGTAGCAGTGATGAGCGTAAGCAGCTCGGCAGCATTTTTGGATGCAAGCACGCACGGTTTTTGTTTTTGGCAAGTATGTGGCAACACACACATATATATACACACACACACACTCTCACATGCAGGTCAGTGTGACTGGATCTTGATTCTCGGGGTACCAGGTGTGGCGGCCATGTTCAATCCGCCTTCTGGAAAGAGCCTCGGCCTTCACAGAAATCAAATAAAGCTCAGTCTAAGAGGGTAATGTAGCTAGATGGTGCAGCTCGGGCTGTATGCGGACAAGATATTTTTGTTTGTGTGTGTGTGTGTGTGTGTGTGTGTGTGTGAGAGAGAGAGAGAGAGAGAGAGAGAGAGAGAGCAGGCGAGCATGTTGATGGCAGTGGGGTGGAGGGGTTAAAAGTGAAGGACCGAGCAGAGCACCAGTTACTCTCTCTCGCTCTCTCTCTCTCACTTCTCTCTCTGTCTCCCCCTCCCCTCTCTCTTCACTGTTATTAGCTCTGTGTGCTCGATCAGACACGCTGTTCTCTCAGTAATCACAATCAGTCCAACCCACTGAGAGCGGGCTGCAATTCCAACTGTTCTCTTTTCACCGGATTTCTGCTTCCCGACAAGTTCCTTTCATCATGCATTTCAGTCTTTATATAGACTAGACAGACAGACAGACAGACAGACAGACAGACAGACAGACAGACAGACAGACAGACAGATAGATAGATAGATAGACAGATAGACAGATAGACAGATAGATAGATAGATAGATAGATAGATAGATAGATAGATAGATAGATAGATAGATAGATGGGGGTATAAGTGGGAGAGTCGTGGAGGCAGAACAGAGTGATTAATAATGCAGACTGATTATGCTGTCACAGGTGGCTGATGATAAAAATATCTCCATCCCAGAGGAGGCAGGGAGGGAGTGAGAGGGAGAGGAAAGAGGGGAGAGAGGAAATTTTGGGCATGGTGGGGAAGGGAGGGAGTCTTAACAGGAGAGGAGGAGGCAGGTGGAGAAGCTGGGGAGAGAAAAATGGGATTTGATGAATAGGGGGAGACAGGGTGCTAGCATGAGAAAATAGGATTCCTGAGACAAAGAGAGAGAGATGAGAGTCTGGCACTGAAAACTAATGTGTCTGTCTGCTGATCCGCTCACCTCCAGCTCTCATCAGGCCTCATTAACACTTGTCACACGTGGAATTAATTCTACTATCACGCCTGCGCACCACACACACACACACACACACACACACACACACACACACACACACGTATATACCTAAACTGCTACGACAGATGTGTAAACATTGTCACATAATTGTAACAATGAAAGGCATTCATTGATTCATTCATTCGCAGTGTTTTTGGAGTTTGACTAAAAGTAATGATATCTTGTCCTGTTGTTGCTTCATGTGGAAGTTTCAGGTCCATTACTTTATATTTTGGTTGGTGTTTCAGTGCTCCCAGTGGGTCATACCTTTTTTCTTTTACTCTAACTTGACCCCTCACTAAGCCCCTCCCGCTGAACAGTTATCCAGTCACAGCTCAGCAACTATAACTAGGCTCAACAGGCCTGACATACTTTGAATATCTCTACATGTTGGAGCAGAGTGCGGGGAACTGCAGCACCAGCAATACTTTATGTATAAAGAGTTCGGATGCTCGTTTCTTTTTTCTCACCTTCTCTGAAACAAAAAACACAAAAGCTAAAGTGTAGGGAAGGGATTAAACAGTGCACTTGTCTGCTGCTATATAAACAGCAAATGTCTCTGGCTTATTACAGTAGTAACTTAACATGCACCCAGTGTTACTTCAGAGGCCAGTGCAATTTTGTAACACATTACTTTGCGGGTTTATAGCTTTAAAAAAATAAGCCTGCCATTGATCTCCCATTGGATGCTACTATATCACAAGGAGGTTAACATTAGTTTCTCTGTTAGGGCTCTAAAACAAAGCTGTTTTCTGTATCTGTGCAGCTTCACAATAATAACTGTATTCCTTTATTTATTCATATTTACACTGGAAGTAAGCAGGGCCTAAAGCAGAAGGAGCTGAAAATTGGCCACAATTTTCTATATTAAACCAATTACACTCCCCTCACATGCGTGATTGGAGTTAGCTGCTGAGAAAATAAACCAAAGTTTTATATTAAAAAAGATAATCAACAAATAAATAATTAAATTAAATTAAATTAATAATTAAAGAAAATAATGTGGAAACTAATGGTGGAAATATAATGTGTGTGTGTGTATGTGTGTGTGTGTGTGTGTGTGTGTGTGTGTGGTTAGCTCACACACACTCAGGGGCTGATTTGAACATTTAAAAACATCATATTGTAGCTGCTCCATGAGATTACATCTCTGAACTAATACAGTTTGGGTGCTAACAGACTGAATTCCCTGTGGCTGCGTTCCAGTGGTGCAAGACAGATACCTTCAAGTGTGAAGATGAAGGCCCTGGAGGGCTCCAGTTCTCTTGTATGTCTTTTTACTTAGTTATTTCCCACCTGCCTCTGTTGGAGTCTAGACTGTGTTTACGTGCTTAACAATATACCTCGTCGATATATCTCTTCAGACGGCACATAAGCCATAATTTTTATGAAAGAAGATATTGTATGACATTTTTTATATCCTGCATGCCTTTAACAAACTGGCCATCTCTAAAATAATATCTCTAAATAAATTCTGGAGCAGATATGATCTGTTAACATAGACCCCTGATGCAACCTGTGAACTACCTGTTATGAAACGGGCACAGAGCCGGCTGCTGGCACAGGCGGCTCAGGCACCGCGCCGCAAACTGTTGCAGGAAAATAAATAAATTCTTATACTCAAATAAAAAAAGTGATACAGTATATACAGACTGCAGCGTGTGTGTGTGATCCATGTTTCCATTGGATTACATTCATTCGTGTTCCTGCTTGTTCAGGCAACTCACTGGCAATCCTTACGCATAGCTGGCATAGTGTGTGGGTAGTACCTTCATTAATTAGATAAAACTTCTAATTTAATGGTAAATGAGCTTGAAATTCAAGGTTCAAATATGCAAAATTATACAACAAATTCATTTGGAGTAGTCTAACCTTCTTCATTCAAGTCTTTAAACTCCATTTGATGTGGCCTGACAATTGCTTTTCTCACTGACTGTTTTAAAAGGATAAAATCAAGCTGCTACAGATGAGCGTACAAAAGTCTACAACGCCAGATGTTATTTATTTTTTCAATTTTTTCCCTCCTTTCTACTGTTTTCACCCTCAGCCCTGGGAGCACTTTCAGCAGGTAAGCCAGTGCAGGTCCTGCACTGCACACTCCAACTGTTTGGAGAGGCACTGAGGAAGTTAATGGGATATCAACTGCAGCATTGTAGTCCAGCGGGTGTCTGTCTGCAATTAAGGGTGAGCATGAGGGGAGAAAAAAAGCTGTTCATATCTGTTAAGAGGGCATCATCCGTTCATATCCAAACAATGCATTGGTATTTGGTTACTCCTTTAGTCTGTCCTGAGCCACAGCATTTACACTCCCGGCAACCCCAGCTAAACAAAAGTGACACACACTATTTGAAAATACAAACATAGCATGAATCTAATGTGTCTTGTATTATTGTTGTATTATTATTGTTGTCCAAGTACTGAAGCAAAGCAGCAAAACATGTTTACGTTAGAACAAAAAAACTGCATGTTTCCTCATCTTACTCTTAAAACTCTACATAGCAAGACAAGAGCGATGCTGTGTCTTTATCTTCATGTCTTCTATGTGACTCACCAACTTGCACGGATGCTAACTGTTCACCTTGGACATAGCTAGTTTTCTGGCTAGCTTCTAGCTTTAACCTCAAGTCTTTTATAATATCCTTTTGTGATGTCACGGTATCATGTACATAGGGATCAGGTGAATATTTAAGACACCTTTACAGGGTTCTCGTTTCAAAACAGGTCAACTGGAAACAATTAAAAGTTGCCTGGAGCTTAGTGAATACTCAACTGAACTGATTGCACACCTGCGCATGTACAACCAGACCTGCAGTAGCTATAACCAAGCCCGTAGATGTTCTTTGAGACACACACATCCAGATACACACACACACACACACACACACACAAAACAAACACACATTTATCTACCTGATCCCACGGACTGAGTATCCCTCCTGAGAACATGAACAGGTAACCCATGGTGACCAGACAGGCCCATATAAGGAGAGAGAAGAGGCGGAGCATCCGCTTGAAGACCGACTCAATGCAGACGAGGATGAAGATGGACAGGAAGAGGATGAGAGCGGCCGGCACCGTGATCAGGAACGCCAAGTGGTCCTCTGTTGTCTGGAGAGGGAGAGAGAGAATTATTGGTTTATACAGTTGCAGGTGAAAGTGATTGGAAAGTGATTTTCAGTACATGCCTGTATGGATAGTCAACAGTCTAGACACCTATACACGTTGTATTAATATACTAGTGAGGACCCTCCACTAGGCACATTTGTAACCACTGTGGGAATCGACTAGCAGCTCTAAAAAGTCATGTACTCTGATTATACGCTAGCACAAAGTCTTTTAAAATGTTGGACCAGAGAAAGACCAACCAGAGACACTAGAGGCTATTTGTAAGTTTCCTCTGCCACCAAATGTGGTTTCTTGCCAGGAACGGGTGGTGGAGTTTCAGCCATTGTTGTGTTTACAAGACAAAAGGTTAATAATACAGCGTCTGAGCCGCACTACGTCCTCAGGGAAGATTGAAGTCGCTGTTTAATGTGCTAACTTCACTAGAAGAAAAGACATGATAGAGACAAGAGTTAACATTAGTGCTGCTTTCCACTGCTGGAGACAGCTCTCGGCGAGTAAAGGAATTAAGTTTTTCATCTAGACTGGTAAGTAAACAGCTGTCAATGCTAACTGTAGCTATGTAGCAATAACAAAACTTACAAAGAATTCCTTTAAGAAGTCCTGAAATGCTCTAAATACCGACTACAGATCAGTTGACCCAAACATTAACCGTAAAACCAACTAATATGGTCAAAATAACAAAATGTCTGCATACTTTAGGAGAACTCCCCACAACTTTGTATCTTAATGAGGACATTATGTGCTCAGGGGGATGGAGGTATGACATGACACGACACACACACACACACACACACACACACACACACACACACACACACGCACAAACAGACGAACAGACGGCACGCAGATCAGCAGACAGACAGTCTGAGCCCAGAGAATGTGCTACAGCATCACTTCTGCGCTCACACTGTCAAAGTCAGCATTTACAAACCGTCAACACACACACACACACACACACACACACACACACACACACACACACACACTCTCTCTCTCTCTGTCTCTTTGACTTGGACCAGACCTCCCTCACCCACCCTCTCCTACTCTCCAGCAGAGAGCCCCTTCCTAACTCTAGGTCTAATGTCATGTTTACACTCCAGGAGGATGCACGCTGCACAAAACTGTCCGTCCCAACAGTTGACTTGGAAAAAAAAGAGACGAGGCTGCTGTAGTTTTTTTCTAAGAAAGGCAGTTCAGTTTTTTTTTTCTTCTCCGCCTTGAGAGGATATTGACTCTTCTTCCTTGAAACTTTTTTAACTCACGTAGCTGTCAGAATTTCTTATTTGTTGAAGATGATTTCATGTATGACAAAATAACACACTCGCTATCACCGCACTATTATCCTCACCACGCTTTCATGGAAGGATGGATGGTTCTCATGTCAATTAAATATAGAGAGACTACAAAATTGTGAACCAAAGTTTGTTCAGCTATCTGGTGAGATTCACGTAACTTCTCTTTGTGATAAATTATTCGTGCCAACAGGAGGAGACTGCAACACCTTTCAGTTCCCACACCATCATGTCTTCATCATCCCATTTCTTACCTGTCCGTAACCTCTGTATGTGCATGTGTCCTCAACATATTTCTAACTATACAAAAGCAACTCTTTTGATTTTCAGTGATAAACGCTTAACTGTGCAAAAAAAAAAAAAAATCCCATCACTTGCAAACACACACACAGAAATGCAGGCAGGGTAAGAATAAAGGACTCTCTTAGTCCTTTTTTTCCCTCTTCAGCGTGTGTTAAATTATGGAACAGCGAGCAAAATCACCATCATTTGCTCAGAGAGACTGTGAACACACGGCTTCCACACACACAGCTCACTCTCACAGACCCGATCCTACCCGACACCCACGTAAACCATTTTAAGTAACTCCAAAGTCATGATTGCACTGACAGGTCCGGCAGCTGTAAATGTTAAATTAGCAAGCTGCTGTACGATTAGATGTCACCAATTTTACAGTAAAATGAACATCAGTGTGGGCACAGAAATGCGTTTGACTCTCTTAGCATGCAATTCACTGGAGCAGCTTTTATGTAACAGAATGAAAAGATGCCACAGGCTCACCCTTGAATTTGTGGCTGATTTGACAGTTTATTGACTGGAGCTAGAGAAATAGCAAGAAGCTATTTGGCCGGAGCAAACGCAGGAAGAGAGCGTTTTGCTGTGTATTAATGAAGCAGCGTGATGTAGCAGAAGTAGTATGAGTCAGGGTCTGGCGAAGGGATCCCATGGGACCTGGTTGCTGACGCCACGCCAGCTATACAGTAAGCCTGAAGCACGGGTTGAATCCCAATGAGGATGTAAGCAAGACTGCAAACCCACAAGAAAAACCAGAGGGGTACCTCGGCGACAGAGACCCGTCCTTCGGTGTCAAAACTCATTTTGTACAAACTGTATGCTCACACACACATACATGCACACACAGGTTAGGGAGCAGAGGGAGCTGCTTTCTCTCACTAAGGAAAAAAAAGAAGCATCCACACTTTTGCACATTTCTCACTGCAGGCCATTTAATCCTGTTAAAACCCCCTTTGAAACCATTTAAAGCCATTTCCCTCGACATGGCATGGAGGGAGGGAGTTGTGCCTGCCTGCCATAATGTACTGCATTGTCAACCAGAACAATTATTTCCTTTTTTAACCCAGTCTGGCTTATCCAGCTATTATACTGGGAGGAAAAGGGGGAACATGGAGACACAGCAGCAGCAGCAGCAGCAGCAGCAAGCCAGAAAGAGACAGAGAGATGCAGTAATGTAATTACTCAGCAGTGAAATGACACAAACACACCAAATACACTGTGTCAGTGGGTGAGAAGAAGGCGAGAGGTGGCACAGGAGGAGTGTGTGTTGAAATCATGACGGTGTGTATGTACTTTCCGTGTTTTGGTGCCTGTTGAATATTTATCCTGCCTGATGAAGCAGCGTCCGTGGCTGGATTTTCTTCAATCTGCTCTCAGCCTGGTTGTGAAAATCATCAATAATCAACAAACCTTTCCTCGAGTGCTCTATTTGCAGTGTGGAGGTACATTAACAGACTTTGCTAAAACAGGTCAAAGGTTGTAGAGCAGCCATGTATATGAACAGAAAGATTATGATATGAATTATTAATATTAGTTGGAAGCAATGTAATGAAAGGACAAACACAATACAAAACTTGCTTTATCATGTATAATGATCTTGAGAAATGTTGTTCCTTCAAGTGTGTGATTGTACATCCGTTCACCACAGCACCCCAGGGGACGACTTTCTCAGTACAGGGTGAAGAAACAGTTGTTTCACAATCACACAGAAAGATGCCAGAGGGCAGGAGCAGCGCGACGTCACCGCTGAGAGGATCGAACCAGTTTGGAAGGCATTCGTACAAGCGAAGATTCCCACAAGCCACACAATAAATGACATACATGTGAAGGAAAGGCCATGGAAATGTGGTGATATGGGCCCTTATGAAGCCGTAAATAAGGAAGTGGCTGAATTATGAATAATAAGAATTTCAAAGAAATCTAAATTAGACTTTAATGTAGACGACCACAGTGTGTTTTCCATTTCCAGTCAACAGTCACTTTGTTCTTTTTCAGTTTGAACATGATTATTCCCTAACCTTGTTGTTTATTACTCTGATTCATCATTTTAACCAGAACAACGTTTCGCTAACCTTAACAACCTACTTACATCAAAGCAAAGACCCTGTGACTAAATCTAGCCAAGCAGTTTTTGTGTCGAAACCTGACCAGACTTTAACAGCAGCATTGTCAAATCATAAAACTGATTTATGTTTCAACAGGGATTTGTAACAGATTCGGAAAGCACAGATAAATGAGGCAATCCTTCAGATAGAGGCTTCAGATCACATTGAATCCATGTAGTCCTTAGTACTTACACCAAGGTCTCCTACCGCACTGAAGCTTTAGTGATGTCCATCACCATCACCGATAAGACGCTTTGGATGAAAGCGTCTGACAAATGAGAAAATGTAAATGCAAATTGAGCACAAATAGAAACAGTACAACTAAAAAGAAACACAACACCAGACGGACGAAAAGATGCACTTGAGTTGTTTCGGTTTGTCTCATACTGCCGCTTCGATTGTGACCATTCTTTGTTGAATGTGTCTCTTGTGAATCCCTCAAACTTATGGAGGTGTAACACTAAAACAACGGAGTGGTCCTTTAATGTGATATTTTCCTGTAGCACACTGATATGAGATGTAACTGAGGGCGGTATCATTCAAAAGTAAAGCTAAGGGGATATCATGTAAGGAGATCAAGGCTTTTTTTTTTTTCCCCAGAAAGTAAAATGAAGATCTTTTTTAAAGATTAAACTCAACATTTTTGTATGAAGTCAGAATCTGCATGTACAACATTCGTCCTTTGAAGTGTTGCAGCTCTACTTCACCACATTCATTCACCTTCCTGCCCCCCGAGTGACAGATTGGTGATCCATCATTACAAAAACACCCTGCTCTCACAGCCCTGCATCTATCAAACTCCGGATGAAATGGAAATAAATCAATGTTTTGCAGATGTTACTGATGTAATATCAACCAACTCTGAAACCGCAAAGACGAAAAGTACGTTGCAAATGATCCTTAACTACCAGAAACTGAAGTCAACACTGGGGTCAATAGTAAACAATACTGATGTAATCAATGACGCGAATCATGAAAATAATGTGAGCTGTTTTATCCAATTTATAGATTTCCAATGTTCCATTACCGGATGTAATATCGATCTCTATTAAACTGTCAAATGGTGTTTAAAATGTCATTTGGTTAACATACTGCCATGTGACTGCGAGAGACTCACACGTGTTTGGGCATGCTAACACACACACACACACACACACACACACACACACACACGCACATGCACAAATACCTACACACATTCCAATCAATACTTCAAGGCAACAAGAAAAAACAAGACGAATGATCTTCTCTAAAAATTGCAGATTAGCCTGTGTAGGAAATGAGAGACTTCCTCAAATAAACACACCCAAACAACACACAAACATGAACACGCATAGCAAGCATATACATGTACATACCCACACTCCCCAGGTACACACACACACACACACACACACACTCACACACATTACAGTATGGGTGGAGGAGTCTTTGTCTTAAAAACACCACATTCTCCCACTCCGGCCCTGATCTGTGGGGAAAGATTAAAGTGTGCAGTCATTTCGGGAGCATTAGTGCTGCTTTGGTTGGGTTTCTGTCGGCTCACTGATAAAGCCAGAACACTTACAACAACATCCTCCCCTCCCTCTGCCGCCCAGCTCCAAACCCACCCTCTATTTATTCCTGCCATTCTTCTACGTCCAGCAGTAATAAATACACATGCCCCGCCGAACAACCACTACATAACTATAGACAAATCTGTCTGTTGTTTAATAGAAACAAATGGGGAAAAAAATGTGATGGATACTGTGAGTAATGAAAAATTATTAGGGGAGAATGCAATCAACCTGTGACCCAAGTGTAGAGGAAGAAGATGAGTAGAACATGGGGAATTAAATCGACCCGCCCGGGTAATAAGTCATATTGATGTGTCTTAAATAGAAGTAAAGGGATTGATTCAGGTGGAGGTTCTCCTGGGAATGACCACATTACAGAGTTCAATTGAATGTTGCAGGACTTCAACGACAGCGTGCCGGCGCTACTTTGAGAGCACATGACGCGCGCACACACACAAACACACAAACACACAGAAGAGTCTACAGCTTGCCCTGAACATACGTACAGCAGCAAAAACAATCATTTTGAAACAACAACAACCTCAGCAATGAGTGGGCTTCCTTTTGTACTGCTATTTCATAAAAAACTGAAAAGCTGCACTTGAGAAAACAATAGCTTGTGTTTGTGGTTGAGTGTTTGTGGCCAAAACAACACTTTTCCCTTGACAAAAGCACCAACACCCACACAGCCGCGAACTCATCTCTCATCCCGCTCTTGATCCGCTCTGCAAACCCGACGTTGCAATTTAAAGTGCCGCTTCACATATAATCATACGCATGCACATCGGCCTCCCCGTCTCATCCACTCTCGTGCTAAAACCAAAACTCTTCTTTTGTTCGGACTCTCCTCTGTGATCCTGACAAGAAGGCTACCATCTGATACTTAAACATGGTATATACAGCTTGTAGCAGGACTTTTTAATGGCACTGTAATAAAATATACAGAGTTCCTCAGCATTAAAAACAAACTGTGGCTTTTATTTTGACAGGTTTTGAACTTTTTTAAAATGCATTTTAGTTTGTTGATCAGTACAGTTCATGGTCTGTCTCCATGACTGCAGTTCTGGTCATCACTTGTACCTGAGAAAACTTCTCAACACTTCTCAGAGTCCATCACAGTACTGCAGAAACAACAAGTGCAGTACTGATGTGTGATGTGTTCATGATTCATTTCTAGAGGTGGCACGCTTTCTCATCCTGCTGCTGATCACTGCTCATATTAGAGGAATAGCTCAACATTTTGGGGATTGAAGTTATTTGCTTTCTTTTGCTGAAAGCATGAAAAGAAGAATGATGCTTCTCTCATGTCTGAATATGCAGCTGATGGAGCCCAGAGGTATTTAGCTTAGCTTAGCACAAAGACCGGAAACACTGGGGAACAGCTAGCTTGGCTTGGCTCTGTCAAAAGGTAACAAAACAAAATCGACCTCCTAGCACCTCCAAAGCTCACTATTTAACACACTATGTCTCGTTGTTTCATTTTCTTTTGGTCAAGAAATTGTCCAGTACATAATGCCCCCGGTAAAACAGCAATGTTATTTTTACACTTTGTCTAAACAAACAAGCTGTAACATATTACTTAGTTAGCTTTAGATTTTTTATCATTAGACAGAGCCCAGCTAGCTGTTTCCCCCTGTTTTCCAGTCTTAATGCTAAGCTAAGCTAACTAGCTGCTCACTCCAGCTACATATTTACTTCACAGAAATGTGAGTGGTATCAATTTTCCCATCCAACTCTTTTTTCTTTTCTTTTTTTTTTAAATGATTGAGTGTATTTTCTAACATGTTGGTCAATTCCTTTAAATACCAAGATCTTCTATTTAATCCAGAGTCTCAGAAACAAAGTTAAGAGAAAAAAGAAAAACATCTAAATGTGAATAAGTCACAGATTAAGCTGTTTGTTACCATAGTGAAAACATACAACAATAACAACATTTCCTGTTAATTGATGTGTGGCATTTATTTCTAAGGTAAAACTAACCTCCTCTTTCTGGATGGATTAACTTACCCACACCTCTGCACGCACGCACACACACACACACACACTCACAAACGCTCTCACTCACCAGTCCTGAAGCGAAGAACACCGCCAGCAGTGCGAGGCAGGTTCCCATGACGATCAGCAGCAGGAACACGATCAGCGGATGCTGCTGGCTCATTCTGTAGTAAGATTCATACAGCCAGTCCTGGGGCTTCTCGCCCTCCACACACACCTCGCCCTGGAACCCCGGGCACCCGTCCCCAAGGCTCTCGGGCCCCTCTGCAACCTCGCCTCCATCGTTCTTCTCCAGCAGGTAACGTCCGCGGGTCCACAGAGCCTCCTGCCACATGGGTAGCTGCCTCTGGAAGGATGGTCCTGCTTTCTTACCGACCCAAACACGTGTGCACGGAAGTGACCGGGGTGAAGGATACTTTCACTCCCGTTCCTCCTCGCCCACCCTGGGCAGTACACCTCTTCCTCTTCTTCTTTTAAAAAAGTTTGGTCAGCTGATAGATGGACAGCTGACTGAAAGAGAGCCAACTTTTCAGCTCCTCCAGTTTCCCTTGCATCTTCTGCCACTCCTCCTGCTTGAGGTGACAAACTCAGTGTGTGAAAACAGATCTTCTTCTTCTTCTTTTTCTTCTTCTTCCTCCTCCTCCTCCTCCTCCCAGAGAAGATGATCAGACACCAAAGAGGAGAGATGAGACTTCCCTTCCTCTTGCTTCTCCTTGTTTGCTCTGAATGTTTGGTCAGTCAGACAGAGAGCAGGCAGCCTCTGCTTACTGCTCAGCGCTGTGTCTGCGATGAGGCAACATGTTACTCTGCTGAGGTGCAGATGAGGACTGAGAGAGAGAGAGAGAGAGAGAGAGAGAGAGAGAGAGAATGTGTATAACTGGGAGGGAGGAAAAGAGAGCAAGAGGAGAGAGGGTGTGTACCAATGTGTGTGCTGGGGAGAGCTGGTGGGTAAAAGTGTGTGTGTGTGTGTGTGTGTGTGTGTGTGTGCGCGCGCGCTGCACCTATTAGAGCAAGTGGAAATGTGTGAATGGTGATGTGTGAGATTAGCTAATGTGAAGAAACTGGTGTATGACTCAAGACAGTGTGAGTATGTGTGTGTGTGTGTGTGTGTGTGTGTGTGTGTGTGTGTGTGTGTGTGTGCGTGTGTGTGTGTGTGTGTTTTCAAGGTGCAGAAAAAGGAAGAGACTTGGAAATTTACATAAGAGAGAACGAAAAGACAGTTTGAAGTTGGCAGAAGAGGAGAAAAAGGGAGAAGTGAGTGTGTGTGTGTGTGTGTGTGTGTGTGTGTGTGTGTGTGTGTGTGTGTGTGTGTGTGTGTGTATAAGAAAAGCAGAGCAAAAGTGAGTGAGTGAGAGACGGGTTGTAACAGCTGTGTTATACCAGGAAGAGCAGCAGAGCGTAGAGGGAAAGAGAATAAAATGGCATCCAGCAGCCGGCGACGAGATAAAAAAGATTGGTAAGAAAAACACACAGAAGGCGGAAGGACGGGAAGGAAGAGGAAGAAGAAACAAAGTCAGGAAGGAAAAACCTCAGGAGACGGAGAGAGTGTGGGAGGAAGAGAGATTGGTGCTTCAAACGGGTGGGGGTGGGGGGGGGGCTGGTAATGAGTGAAAGTTTGTGACTGTCAGTGTGTGTGTGTGTGTGTGTGTGTGTGTGTGTGTGTGGTGGGAGTAAAATACGATCTGATGAAACAAAGTCCCAATATTCCTCTGCACCACCCATCTCTCATTTCTCTCTCTCTCTCTCACTTCGACTCCTGTTCTGCCACGGCTCCCTCTCTTGCCATGCCACATGTGATGCTCTGTGAAGTGTGAAAATGGCCGTGCCACTTCAGTGTGTCATGTCCACATAGTTTCTTTGTAGCACGCTAACGCAGACAGAGAGAGGAGCAGAATCTGTACACAAAGGCTGCGAATAATAAATACGGTTCATAAAACTGAATGTCATATTTCGAAACTGTAGACTTCATATCTGAGTCTTTGTCTTATCCAGAGTGAGAGGGAATGAGCTTCTGTCCCAGAGCAACAGAAATTACAAGCAGCCATAAGCAAAGCAACAAACATGCAGTCCCCTGTGAATTACGCATCCACCCTGTGGACAAACTGGTAACAACTTGTACAGACTGTACAGACACACAAGCAGCTCTGTGAAGCTGTACTCCAGACTCAGATAACATATGTAGTGAAGTCTTTGAAGGAATTTAATCAAAAGGTATTAAGTGTATTTTATCACATTTAGTGTGTGAATTCCTGACTTATTGCCAAAAACGTGTTTGTGACTTTAACCTTTGACCACCAAAATCTATTCACTTCATCGTTGAGTCCGAGGGATTGTTTGTGCCAAATCTGAAGAAATTCCCTCCAGGTGTTCCCGTGATATTGCCTTCAAGAGAACGGGACGTCATTAGGATTCTTCCTCCGGGGACGCTGAACACCCTCTACGAAATGTTATGACAATCTATCTAATTTTTGTTGAGACACTTCACACAAAACCAAAAATGTCAACCTCATGGTGCCACCAGAAGAAAAGTCAGGAGATCACCAAAGTAATTAGGATTCATCCTCTGGGGACCATAAAGGTCTGTAATAAATTACATGGCAATCCATCATGTGGGCCAATCATCCGAGAAATCAATAGACTGGCCGACATGGACATTACTAGACCCCGCTGCTAGCATGGCGACACAAATGCATTTACACAGCCCATTTACAGGACTTGTGTTGCCTTGTTTTTGATTGATTGCACACATAATATAGTCAGAACATGTCGCACTGATGGTCTAGAGGGCAGATTATTACAACATTATTACAACAAGAACATCGTATTTCATCTTATTCCAGCTCTCACTTCCGACCCGTCAGTGTCATTTTGAAAATAATAATAAAATCTTAGACAAATGGACAAGTTGTAAAAATCAGATTGGCAATATGTATGAAATCACGTGAGAGAAGAACGAACACATGAATAGACTCACTCAGGATTCATATTAATTTGTGGAGGATATTGAGGTTTGGATCTTGGATCAACATCGGTACAAACAAACTGGAATCCCAGAGTGCAAAGGACAAAGCAGTCGTGGCCGTTCAATGTTCGTGTCACTGGAGAAAGAAACAAAAAAACGAACATTTTATAGCAATTTTCAGACAGAGCGTAGAGCAGGGAAATCAATTACCGTGGAGAAGGGGACATGGTGATAAATTCATAGAAAATCACCATCCAGTTGGCTAAAGTAATGGCAGTAATGACAGTGATAATGATTCACACATCATCATGTCCTGCTGCACATCAACCCCAAAGTAACCAACTCATTTTTCACTTACACATTTAGAGTCAGACATAAGAGCTGGGGGAGCTCTGCAGAAGTGTTAAATCAAACACATTCACCGTAAAACCATTAATATACACTATGGGCTATGTATTCTGTTATTTCTATCATAAAATTAATGACTTCTATAAATAGAAATGTTCATGTTCATTAGTCACATTTCAAAAATACAAAATTCCATGCAGGTCAGTAAGCAGTGGTTACCTTGACTACAATTCTGTGGGCTAATTAATAAAATACTGTACAGCTGTGATGTTATTAGGATTTAAATCTATTGATTTTTTTCTTTAAATGCCCTAGCACTAGCAAAACTCACAAATCGCTCAGTGCAGATTTTATTTTGTTCACAGTAAAGTTCAGAGTTCTTGTGTGCTAACACTAGCTATCTGTTTACTGCCATCACAGTATACTATGAACAACTGTATATGGCATTAGTGTTTACTTTATAGTATTTGGCAACAGGTTTGGCTACAGTTAATGTTTATTACCATCGTATCACTGTAGCTAACACATTATCAAACAGTTGCCCACCTACAAATCCTTTTTCTAACAGCAATGTTAGCATTTGTCTGGAGTTGAGTTTATAGCGCCCTGACAAATGTAGCACTCACATTTTAGCTCTGTTTTGGTCGTAATTACAGTAGGTTTTTCATCTTTCCTTACCCATTAGCCGTTGACTCCAGCTGTCTCTCAGGAGCTGATAAGAGAGGGATGGTTGTAAGACCTAGAGTCTACCTCTGTAAAGAAGAAAGATATTTTTGTTAGTACTGGGTAAAACAGTGTAATCGGTTCACTATTTAAAATATCATATAATGCTGCTTTAATTTTTTTTTTTTTTTTAATTATGAGTAGTAGTATACTATTTTTCATATAATGTGATGTATTCTGTTTTGTTAACTTTCTTTTCAGCATTTGTGAGTAATTATAGATACTGGAGTTATTTAAGTAGGTATTTACCGCAGTGTATTATTCCACTTAATTAGATAACAGAAGGTAAACTTAAGTAACACGTTAAAGGTCCAGTAACTAATGTTTTATCACCCCAATTCAACACCACCACTAACTACAGTCTCAAAAACAGAGACAGATTCGGCTAGCCTGAATTTATTAAGGCCAGATGCTCCAGTGGTTGATCACCACATGAGGATCAAGTTCACGGTGTCAGTAACCTTCTGAATGTAAAGCAGGACGCTGCTGTAAAAGCCTTCTGGAAAAGCAGAAAGCCCAAATATTTATTTTAGTAACAGGAACGGCGGCAGCGAGATAGAAGGGAGATGACTGATGCCGAGAGTCACGCATCGTAATAACCCAGATTCCCCTTGACAAGCTGATAGCTGTATGACATGGCGTGTGATGTATTTACAGCCATCCAGTGTTGCTCACTCTGCCTCCTGTAAAAGTGTGAGTCTTGTGCTGTCCAGGCGGCTTTTTGCCCCCGTAGAAATTGGTGTGAATCTGTGTTTCATTGTGACATCAAATCTCCCTTCTAGTGATAAGAGGCATTTGACAAACATGTGATGAGGTCTTCATCTGCCGTGTTTGGTCTCTATGTCTGTTTTATCCCTGTGTGTGTGCGTGTGTGTGTGCTCTTACCATATTGCAACATATCATATGCTTCCTGCTTGGTTGCCTTGAATAAGCGTGTGTAATGTAATCTAATTAGGTCTGCCTTGACACAACAAAGACAAGATTAATGAACTGAGCTGAGCTCCTTACACGCAGGCACACACACACACAACCCCCATGATAGTTTAGCAATATGTGTGTGTGTGTGTGTGTGTGTGTGTGTGTGTGTGTGTGTGTGTGTGTGTGTGTGTGTGTGTGTGTGTAAAATTGTGCAAGTGAGAGACAGCTTGAACTGTGAGGCGTTTTCCTTTACTCAACCTGTCCTTCGTTGACTGTGATAGATGTTGTTTTTTTATTAGGCCGTGAGTTATGTTACTCAAATTAGGGGAATCCCACTCTTTATCATCAACAGACGAACACATGCACACACATACACACACACACACAAACTTCCCCTGTGGAACCAATCTGTGAAGTGTAATTTAGACTGTGAGGGGGGAGGGAGAGAAAATATGAGGAAATATCCCAAAAAATTAAGTCAAACACACACACACACACACTGACAGCGACATCAACGGATATGAGCAAGTGTGTGCGAG